CCGACATGAGTGCAATTGATCAACCCGGGCCCCAGACACGCAGTTAGACGCCCCATGGACGAGAGCTTCACGGAGCTTGCATACGAAACTCTCATTATTCGACAAGGGCTGCCACCCTTCGCTAAAAATTCGTGGGTCTCATCAACGGCTGATTTATTTACGAACGCAATACGTGAGGCGCATCAAAGATCAAGGATCGGGTACAATATTCGCGGCGTACGCAAGGGTGAATAACGCGAACGCTAAGATGGATAAGAGTCATGAATATCGACCTTTATAGCATGGGAACGATGAGGGATAATTTCAGCTAATTCAGACTATTGTACCTCAAAATTATATCTGATTCATTGAAAGCCTTCATGAATATTTGTAGGAACAAATTCAATGAAAACTCGCGATTATCACAAGTCCAAAAAAATTGTTATATTAAAGATTATATCTTGAATTATTCGTACGCCAAATTGTTGACGTACGAGTTACAAGAACGATCTTCTTGTGTATATATCAATAAATTACGTATACTGAGGTGTAACTTTCCTCTAGGTCTAGAGTGGCCGGAAGGGATTTAAATAATTTTATCCATTAATTATTCAAATTACAGGAGCGCTTGTTGGGGCGCTCAGTCATATGATGTTTAGGACCGTAGCAATGTTGTGAATACTTTTAGAATTACTTTTCCATTTCCAAAAAATATTCAGAAAATTGATGTCACCGAAAGATAAGAACTTATTTAAAGTGTAATTTTATCTGCGTAAACATCGGAATATACTTTATGTATAATGTAATTTAATTTAATTAAATAAACAAATTATAAGGCGCCCTAAATTATCGCAACCAACTGCATCCACCAGACTGAAATATTAACAACCTACAACGTTAAGCGATAATAAATTAAACACATTAGTAACACGTCCTTGACATCCCTCTTTGTGTTCAAGTTTCTTCAGTTAAAATATTAAGGTTTCAGTAACTTACAAATAAATTAATTCCTGTTTAAGATCGTCTCTAACCTTCTGCGATCACGTCAAGGGTTCGTAATAATCTTGCCTATAGGTGCCATGTGTGCCTGCCAGAGGCGCGGTGTTGTGGGGTGCCGCTAAAGTGCTCATCATTGTTGTCTCGCAGCAATCCCCTTTCTTGTCCAAGCGTGGAATAGGTGGGGACGGTCGAGTGTGCTCCCTCTTCCAGGCTTTATTGGTTCCAGCTCTCTGGGGGGTGAAGAACTCGGTGCGAACAATGGACGGCCGATCTATAGCACTCCCATGTGGCACCTACTAATTCTGCCTCTCGTGTAGTTCTATAGAAGAAAAGGTTAGTGATTCCTATGATATCATTGTTCTTAATCAGGTTATAAATAAATTTGACTGATGCTAACACTGAAAGACAGTTGTCGGTATCTCTTGATTATAATGTTTGGCTCTTAAAAATACTAAATTTTCGATTTAGTACCTATAACATTTATTAATCAATAGAGAATTCTAAATTTTTGCTCGAATAAATTCAATGCTTCAAGTGAAGTAAAGAATACCAGATGGTTCATTAAAGTCAGGGTAAGCGGCTATCAATTTGAATAAAACGCAGAGCTCTGCTCTGTTTGCCCCTAATACGATGAGATGTGCCGTATGGAAGTCGTTCAGCACCATCAGAGAAAAAAGCACTACCGCTCTCCTCCCCGGTGCTGAAAAACGCTAGGGCGCAGCACGCGATCACTCTGTTCAATTACGAGGCACAAGTAATCGATGACGCCACAACATAAGCCATGGTTGTAATCACACCGCCGATTATTGGATTCATCACTTGGCATCGGAATTCGGTTCGCCGATAAACCTAAATTATTTTCGGTTATCAGAGAAATTGGCCGTAGATACGAGGCAAAAATTTATGTACAACTCCGTACTTTGTTTTTCCTTTGGTCAAAGTATTTTGGGATATATTTTGCATTATCTGAGGTGGTAAACATTTGAATGGAAAAAGTCTATAGTCAAATTATCAAAATTTATTTCCGATGCAATATAGTGATGGATAAAACAATAGGGACTCTATCATGTGCCAGCTGTGCGTGATTAAATTATTATTCAGCATCTGTCGGCCAAGTTATTGGATTTAAATTTGGGCGGGAAAGCTTTGAGACGGGAAACATTTTCCGCTTTCTAAACTGATGGAAATATAACATGAACAGTGTCATTTTCCAGCTAAGCTATTCTTTAAAAGTTAAATTTTGAAACGAATAAATCTCAATATATTTAGGCTGCGTTCTCCGTGTCTGTAAAAATTAATCTCAGTCAAAACTCATTTTTCTTGTGATGGATGAGAATGTCAGAGCCGTGATTTTGCCTGAACCCGTTGGTGCGCGAGGAGAGCTACTACTTGAAGACAATTTACGACCGACCTTGAGGCAGGAGATGTTTTTTCGGGGTCGAGCGCTGGTGTGGGGGCGACAGCGACGCAGTGCTTAGGGGCGCCGCCCCCTCCCAGCTGCGATCGATGAGCTGCAAACGCGGTCACCAGGTCGTGGCTTACTGACACTCCTTACTGAGCTGTCAGCTGGTGGCTGAGCTGACTATTGAGCAGCAGTCAGCTGGTGGCTGAGCTGACTACTGAGCAGCAGTCAGCTGGTGGCTGAGCTGACTACTGTGCAGCAGTCAGCTGATAGTTGTGTGCCGAGCATCAGTCAGTTTATTATTTAGTTGAAAAATGTCATAATTAATAAATCATTTTCCAAAAGATTATACAGGTAAATAGCATGAAAAATGATATAAATAATGCAACAAATTAGCATTATACTCATATTCATTTGATATACAAAACGAGTTTCAGCAGAAAAAGAATGGATCTGAGAAACGTGGTAGCGCTCTGAGGGGGGTGCGGCTGGGCGAAGTAGCACTTTATTGTTTTGTTTACAGAGCCTGAGTGGAAAAGTTTCGATGGAACCAGAAGTGATGGCGGACTTTAACTCCTAGAAGTTAGCCGCAGATGGGAGATGCGACGGTCCAAGACTACAGAAATTTTTGTCACCGTCCTAGAAACAAATAAAAATTATAGGAATGATATCTGCTGACGTAGATCCAGCGGAGGCGGATAGAGCAAACAATCTCGGTCGGTATTGGACATTTTCCTAGGCTTATGGTGCTCCAGATTTTTATGCCTTCTTTAACGGCTTGGCTGGAATCGCGGAAATTATTTGGGTAAACACAAGGGAGCTTCCGAGGAGCAATATACGAGGGGGTCGCTCCCTCCACATCCGTCAACTGGTGACGGCAGTGCAGCTATGCACTCGCACGAAGATATTCAGACGCTCCGCAAACTCTTGGAAGGACTGGCGCGGTGATGAAACTGAACCTCGTAGAAAGAAGTTTATTACCGAAATGTTCAGATAAATTCATAAATGTTCTAAAGGATGAAAGAAATTCGCCATTGTTGAAAAATATCTTGTGCGGGTATAGGCAAACAAGCAGCACACGCAATACACTTTCCTTAGTAGTCAGTGTATTTGCTCGAACCGTGAGCGAGAAATTTATCGGCATCAGGAGCCAATATTTTTGAGCAGAGTAAAACTGAATACCCATAGTCAACCATATTTTCTCTCACTTTGATGAATGAACATGTACATGTTCATTCATCAAACTGAGGAAAGCGAATACAAGTATACGATTAATAGGCATCCTCATTTCACGAGCGAACAACATAACTTGAATCATTTCCGCTATAACCAGTGTATAATAGACTGAAGAATCGACACTTCAACACATATATTCAACTGTAATTTTGCCTGGTGACTTGCCCTCGCAGCAGACAGCATCACCACGTCAACTATCAACTGACAATCTTCGCTGAGCAAACTATCACTCAGAGGATTGAGGGAGCGTTTGTCCAAATACTGGTGCACTTTTAGCCTTGTGTGTGTTGTCCTGGCCCAGTTTGGTCCGGCCTAAGGGCGTATCAGTGATACTTGCACAAAGTGTGTCACTATTTAAAAAATATGACCCATTCATTTACCTGGATATACTTAAATATAAGTGAGCAAAAGATAAAACAACTCCTGAGACTCGGAGTGCGATAATAGTATCCACTTCGTTCTCCTTACAAGGTTAAATACTGAAGCATGGTTGAAAAAGTTTTAGCAAATATTTTTTGAAGTTATATTATGATTATTCCTGTAGTGGATAACGTTTTATTTGTTATATTTATTATTAACAGAGGCAGCATAATACGGGAATAGAAGTTAATAAGTTTCCCATTGGAATGTTTACACGGTGAATATATTATTTTGTTAAATTTCATGAGTAATCAGCATTAGGTTAATAAACTCCAATTTGACTAAAAATTCAATACAAATGCAGAAGAAACCTTGAAAGACGTTGCTGATACTATCATGAGAGTGATTCGTTTTAGTCTTGCGTGCTCATTCAAAAAATTTTATGAAATAACGCATACAATTCGGTGTTAGTTTCTTCGTCATCATTTCTGTATCAACTTAGAGCAAGTTAGAGTTTCTAGGTGTGGGTTTTATGAACATCGTGGCAATTTCATCACGAATATGGTGGTATTGACGCTTTTCGGATTCATCATACTTTCATAAATACGGTAGGGGGGTAGTCGAGGTTATACATCTCCGTCAGTTTCGCATCAATGGAACCTGTTAGGACACCGCACCGCACTTCTTTTGGAGGTTTGTCAGACCATCCATCTTACGTCAGAGCTCTGACGTACACATTGCTCGCTCCCTCTTCTCGCCTTAATCTTCCTGCTCTGATTACAATTTCTCCCCTCTCTATCATGCCGCCCTCATTCCGATACTCCCCCTAGCCCTCTTCTTGATATATACATTCAGGCACACCACACATTGTGCTAGTTTCCTCGCATGGTGCTGGAACGCAGCGACGGCGGCGACCTCAGCCGCCCCATAACGAGGGACGCGTGGCGTCGGCACGGCGCAGTCTGGCTGCTCAGTTGCTGGACTGCCTGCGTGTGATGCACATCTCGCGATGGCACCAGCCCTGTCATTGTCTCTCCACAGCTGTGCAAGATTTCATCGTTGCTTCTTGTTCAAACTAGACTTTTATATTGAATAATATTTAAACCATAATGCCTCCGACAAAAGTAACACTCATTAGCTAAGTCTCCGATGAACAATCACTAGATCGTGTGAAGATTTACCACGTGCTTAGGATAATGTTGAGTGAGTCATGCGGTCACGTTTATGTTACGAGTTCCAGCCGCTGTAGTGCAGACTAATGAGTCTTCTTTGATTGGGTTTCTCTGAGTGAAGGTCGTTCGTATCTATTACCTCCGTGTCAGTTGTTATTAATAATAACTAACGCACTGAATCATCTGGTAAAAATATGAGCGAGTCATTATGTAAATAAATAAAGTATGGTACTATATTCTCTACTGATCTCTCTGGAAATTTCGGTCTATAATATATTGATAGCAACTGCCTCTCACAATATATTATATTAATAGCAACTGCCTCTCACTATTTTTACTGTGTTTTTTTTGGGCAGTCTCATGGAAATAATGACCATAGATTTTTATATAAAACATGAACGAACTTTACTAAATGCTATAAAATTACTCCATTTTCACATAGGAAGAAAGAAGCTATTTCAGTAACTTTTCCTCCTATGACGATAGAGTAAATGTTGCATGAGTGCTGCTGATCAGTCACAATGAATTCCAGATACTTCAACGCTGGTTCCAATATCCGTAGAGTTGATCATAACTTCCTATAATGAATAAATATAATCATACATACATCATAATTATACAATTATAGATTATGCGAATAAATTATAATAAAACAACTTCACAGAGATTTAACTGCATATTTAAAAACCATAAAATTCCCTCATATCAATTAGTGAGACTTTACCTTCATGTTAATTAACTTTTTGCATTATTGTGTGTCAACCTGACTCAGTTTGGCAATTAAAACGCACCGAGCAATGCTATGTCTGTTCTCTGCTCATGCTGTGTATAAGAAAGGCATGTATTATTATGATAATATTGCCCAATAATTTTTTTGTGAGGTGCCTGGAACCACAAAAGTCTAAAAGTATTGTATATGTACATTACAGTGATCATTATTCCCGGCGAACTGCAGAACCGCTATATGATTGGTGTTTTGTGGTCATGCAGCGATTGATGGATGTACGATTATAAATTTCATCATAAATTCCTTCCTTCCTACGCATACAAAACTCGGGCAAGAATAATTTAAAAGAAACAAAAAACGATTCTATAATTTCGAAAATATCAACTTTAAAAATGTGAGTTGTTAAATCATGTGCAACAATTATGAATTTTTTTTTTCAAATTAATGAACAGTGATACCGAAGTTCTCCTAAATTATCATTGAAGATGCACGAGACACACCAAAGAATATAAAACATTTGAAATAAACAATTCTCTCTCAAGTTTGATCCACTGTAAGCACGGACAAGTTTGCGCGGCGCGGTGATGACAGAAGCAAGGAGATGAAACTGCGAGGTTGGAGCGTAGCCACCTCGTGGACGGTGACGGTGTTGTGGTGCGTGGTGAGTGTTGGGGTGTCCATAACCTCCTTGGTGGCTCTAGCTTTACCCACGTGGTTCATCAGGCCTAATCCACCTGCTGCATCCTTCGGGGTGTGGTGGTGGAGTGGACCTGGCCGTATCCAGTGGGTAGATGAAACAAAATATGAAATCCCCCCACCCGCGCAACATCAAGATCATTGGCTGCAGGAACTGGCTTTGCCGTACGTTGTTTCCGCCCAAGATAATTTGCATGAATCTGAGATGTCCAGTGATCCATACCGTGTTGCGGTGACGGACAACTTCTTCCAAGTGCGGTGGAGCATCACTGGAGGTGCGAGTATCTGGATCATCGTCGGGGCGCTGTACGGCGGCGCCGCTGTGGTTCTCGCCAGCACGGGGCTGGCTGGACCTCTCATGATCCCGATCCTCAAGCCCAAAGCCCGCAGCTCCTTCACGAGGCTACTGAGCAACATGCAGGCAGCCGCTGGTAAATCATTCTTAAATGATTTATACCTGACTAATCGAATCATTTGAGTGAAAAACTAATCTTTCGCTATAATACTTCTATGTATCCCAAAACTTTTCTTTTGAATCAGGCCGACATAAACTCACATTTTGTTCGATCGAGGTACAGTCATTGAAAAATCTGTTGGAAAAACTCACTATTTTACAACACTTCTCTTTAACTTCACTTCTTGTTGTTTGTTTGTCTGTCTGTCTGTCTGCTGCAAATCTTATAATCGACATTTAACACACTTCCACCTGTCCAATCTATCTGAAATTTGGCACACTTGCGTAAAGTTGGAGACAATGCATGAATCAATTGACAGAATAAATAATTTTATAAATTAAATTTTTGTCACTATTAAAAAAATTAAAAATAATTTCGTTTGCTACAAATCTTATAATCCATATATGACACAATTTGACCTGTCCAATCGATCTGAAATTTTGCACAATTGCATAAAGTCAGAGACAATGCATGAATCAGTGGACAGAATAGACAATTTTGATAATTTACAAAATTTTGATATCATAAAAAAATTTTGAAAAATAATTTTTTTCAATATTTGTAAATAAAATTAGAAATTCATTGTACATGTGGACACTGTACTGAACAATGGACACTGGATTGTTTGGAAGTGTTGTCTTTAAAAAGAATTTTTAAACGCATATTATTCAATCTGAGATTAGGTTAAGTTAGACCACGTCCTGATATACATCCTCCCTGTTCAAAAGCGAAATTGTATCTAAAAAACTACTATTACGAATCTCATCTGGTTTTGTTTCGTTCAGTGAGCGTTCAGCTGCTGAGTTTGGTGCTGTACCCCCTGGGGCTGGGCTCAGAGTTTGCCCGGCAAGTGTGTGGGGAAGAACACACCACCATCTACAGCTGCGGGGACTGCTCCCTGGGATACGGATACTTCCTGGCGATTGTGTCAACTACCGTAGCCGCCTACTGCCCCGTCCTCGCCAGACTAATAACATACCGGGACTATTCGCCTTACTGGTCCTCCGTCAACTACTTATAGTACTCTTCACGCTAGGGGTATACTCATGGTAGCGCATGCGGTCGTTTACCGCTGTTGTATTACTAGGCAGAGACATCATACTCTACTCGTCCTTTAACAAACTCTTAACTTATCATCCATGTTGCATACTAATAATTGATTATTTGTTGCTGGAGAATGCCCACGATCGCTTTACATTGCCACTTTTACATTTCCATCTGTTTAATATGGGCAAAAAAATTATTTTCTTATTTTGAATGTCTTCCTTCAGTGAATTAATTAGGATGTCACCAATGTGATCATATTGCACTAGATCAAATTTTTTATTATTGGTGTACGTGAAGAGTATGAAAATTGTGCCGTTGTAATATGCGTATCTCGCTGACAAAAATAAAACACTTAATTAAACTACTAGTAAATTTTAACATATCTATTTCAAAAAGCTCGTGCGTTGGATTATATAAATTTCTAGCTATTCGTAAGATGTAACTTGTTAATTTCAAGCTTTCAATATTGGAAGAATTCGCTTTCCATGACCTGACTTGCCTGCTGAAATTTCGCGTATACGATAATAAAAGATACGAAGAGCTCAGTGATTAAATAAATGTTTTTTATTGGGATTATTCCAAAAAAAGCTAACAAGAGCAAAACGATTAGCACAAAAGGTTTCAAAAAAATCTTCATCATTAACATTTCGTGCATGAACTAAGATGTCATACATAACAATCTCGTCTCTTCCGATTGGCGTTTCTGAAAAAGCTTATTTGCACAGAAAATGTCAATTGAACGCACGTACATTACCGAACTATTTTAAATTAACGACGGATAGTTCGCCGAATGAACTATATTAAACGTACTGTTTGTTAGAAGCGGATAGATACGCGTAAGTATTTTCATAAGATGATAATTTGAAAAATCGGTCAATTTTGATTTGTACACTTTCCTTCCAGTTTTTCTCGCTTGCAGTTCAATCGAGCCAAATGAAGAAAGGTTGAAAAACCCTAAAAATTTTTATTTATATAATGCAGCCAAAGCATTTCTCCCGATTATTTAATGTGTTGATCAGGCTACGTAAATTATAACTTGTGATGTAAATAATGTACCTAAAAATTTGTATGACGTAAGTGTTTAAAGTTGCGTGTCCAGTTAAATGTTCTACATGCGACGTTTAGTTTTTTGTTCGCCGCGATAAAGTCTATGTAAATGACACATGCACATGATTGCCGTTATTTTGTTCGTCGCAGTTGGAAATTTTTTTAAGTGTCACTTTTGGGCACTCATTTTCAATAATTTTTATTGGATAGTGTAGAAACTAGCATCTTGACTGTTGTAACCGTGAAAAAATGTTTGAATTTGTTTTGATACGTTAATAACGATCGTTTCCGTGCCCACAGCATAGCTCTTCTTCAAAGTTAGACGAGCAAATTTTTATCGGAGAATGGTTGTGTCTAGCGATTATCAGTATCATTTATTACTATTATCGTATTTCTTTTTCATATAAGCAATGTTTTCTGTATTTTATGAGTTTTATTTTCCATGTTAGGAAAACCTGACAAAATATGCAAATTGTTTCCCTTAAGTACGGTAGCAAGCGGACTGAAGCAGTAGGTATACGCAACTTTAGTTTCGTAAGTTGTTGCTCATTAGATGAAAATTAGATGTTCGTTCAATTTACAACATCACAACAGTACGAAAATCTGTCTGAACACAATCATAGACGATTTATTTAACTTCAAATTGAACCTAAATATAGACTAAACGAACCAAATATATGTTTGCATCTGAAGCGTTCTGTGTTCTCCGTATAGTAACAAAATATAGGCTACACAAATAAATTCTATAAGCTTAGTAGATTAGTATAAATAATTCCAAATCCATAAACACCCCGAAATTAACAATGTCTTCGATACACAAATTATCAAATCTTCAAAAAGAAATGTTGAGTGATTAAGGTTTCTTTACAAAACGAGTAGGTATCCTTTTAAATAGAATTCTAAATACACCCTGTAGGGTTCTCTAAACAATTACGCCTCCCTTTGAAATTCACTTTAATCGGACTTCATCTCTGAATTGTTACCTTCTAATACCTACCAACATTTTACGAGCTAAATCATAAATGGACGAGTTAAGTTTGTTGACCAACGATAGGCTTATCAGGTTATCTTACATTATGGCAAAGAAGTTAATGGAAGTTCTTTAACGCAGACTGAGATAATCAGTTGTGGCATAGGAGTCGGTGGTGGTGGTCGTTTATAAAATAGGCGGACTGCAGTTAGAACTTTGAACTATCTCCTAGCTGGACAGCTGATGCGTATGTTGTTTGATAACGTGGTCACGTGACTGAGTAATTAGTGACGCGGAGTTGCAAGGCGTTTTGATTGACATGCAAAGAAGTTACGTTTAAATCTAATAATATCATTGAAACAGTCTAATATGAACAGCCAGAATAAATCAATTAATTATTTGTATGAGATGGTATATATGAATTTCTTAAATTTGACCATAGCATTCACTGTCATCGAGAATTACTCAAGTTAAAAGTTTTTTGTAATTTAGCCTTGCTAAATATTCTTAGAAATTAATTCCCACACTCATACAATGTACCTATTTTGCCAGACATTAAGTAAGAACAAAAAATCAAATTAGAAAAGTTCATTATTTAAAAATACCTCACTACTGTTACCAGTTACTACACTACGACGACTCAACGACTACGGTTCTAAGCACCGTACTGGCGTACTAAGTTACTAACGGCACGGCAGCAAGCTTAGCTAGTAGTAGAACTTTACAAGTAGGTACCCTGAACTTCAGGAATCAGCAGTGGCTGACCACTGAAGTACAGTAAACAGTAGAGTGTATACGTATACCCTAAAAGCCTGAATCCCTAATGCCCTTGACCCTCGTTGTACCTACTTAGTACTTGGTTCTGCTGTCAGTGCTCTGCATAACTTCATAAGCTCTTAGGCCCAACGGTCATCAATCATCATTGTGGTTGTCCTGTGGTTTTTGGTGGACTCTGTGTGGGTGTGGACATCCGGTAAAGAAGAAGTTGTAGCTACTTGCTAATTGATTACTAGGCAGACCGCAGTTAGCATGTCATAATCATAATGTCTGTTGTCTGAGCCCTGAGACTGAGGCACTCTGAGCTGTCAGTCTGTCATTATAGTATAATTTAGTTAAAATTTTCTGGCATGAAGATTTTTAGACAATTTTTTGATAGATTACTTTACTACCTAATTACTATCTTTTGAAGAATCTGGTTGGGTTTGATTCTGCTGCATTCAGCCTGATTCAGGAGGCGAGGGAGGGTGAGAGGGTCAAATGCCTTCTTTTCCAGTTGGAATAATAGATCCTTATTTCCATCCAGAATTCTTCCCTCTACCAGGTTTCATGAATATTTCTGTGTTAGCTATTTAAAAAGAAGCAAATCTGCTATCCTGATTCTGATTTCTGAACATGGCTGACAGGCTTAGCCTGGTTTATCTCATTTTGGACTGGCTTCTGCTACCTTTACACTTTACAGATTACAGTTAAGGCTTTTGCCAAGTTTCTCTTCTAAGTTCTAAAAACTAGTAAACAATAGCTTTTCACCTATTTTAGGTTTTGTATCTTTTAAATGATATAAAAAAAAGAAGGCATAAAAATGCAAACAAAAAAACATTCAATTGGAATCTTCTTGGTAGAACAGGTCTACCATACCAAGATTACAATTGAATGGAATCTTGGTCTAGTAGACCAAGATTCCAGGTCTACTAGACCTGAAAGAGTGAGCCTGAAAGTAGACCTTGCCTTCATGATTTACATGGCTAATTATTCAGTAGTTATTATCTACATCCAGTGAAAAAATGAGTCATTTCTATGCAATATATTATTTGAGTTAAAATGACTGGTAAAACCTCTTTTCATTCTGTCCATTAGTTTGAGTTGGATCAGTTCAGTTGTTATTGAAAAATTAGATGTATGGTAACATACCTAGCTACAGTTTTTACTTGGAGCTGTAGGAATAACTGAATAAAAATAGCTTGATGCCTCTAGCTACAATGCAAGTTTTTGTATGTCAATTTGGGTTGTTACTTGTAAATTGCAGTCGTCATTTACAAGCTTATATTAAAGTAAAGTTTGGTTCAGTCCCCACTGATACTGAAGCTTGAAGTCTCATTTCCAAAGATTGCTGTTTGTAATTGATTAAGGTGCCAAATTGATATCTCAAAAAATCTCAAATTAGGTTAATATTTAGCATGAGAATATATGTTGTTTCCTATATTTTAATGGAAGAGGTACCCTACTGCCAGAGGTGGGCAGTAGCGCGCTACATGTAGCGGCCGCTAGTAGCGGCCGCTACATTTTCAGTAGCGGTAGCGGTAGCGGCTCTACATTTAAGGCAATGTAGTGGTAGCGGTAGCGCCCGCTACATATTTAAGTAGCGATACGAGGTTTTGCCGCTACAGCGCTACCGCTACATTTAAGCTTTGTTAAACGCGTCTTGTTTGTAGCTTTCAAACGAGTGCAAACACTTTGCAATTAACCTAAATAATGACATATAAATACCATTTATTTGTAAATAATGATATAAAATGATCATTTTATAAAAGTTCAAGACTGCATTCCACAAAAAAGTATTGCATGTACATCTATAGTAATAGCTTTGTTGAACGCGTCTCGTTTGTAGCTTTCAAACGAGTGCAAACACTTTGTAATTAACGAGAGTAATGATCTATATATACAGATTTAATTCAAATAAATCTTTGTACATATTGTTAAAAAATGTTCATATATATATTTGTATAATTGTCTTACGCAAAAATTAAAGCACGCACAGACATGCGGTAAACTGCGTTAGACGCGCCTTTTTAGCAGCTACAAAATTAGTCAAGAAAACGGTAAAGCCAAAATTTCCGATTTTTAGGGTAGCCGGTCCCCTTAATAGTATTATATATTATTTAAAAACCAGCATGATACATACATAATATAAATTACAGAAGAAAACTGTACGAAAGATCTCGGTGTAATGTTGTCAACCTCAGCCTGTTACTAGTGTCAACATGTTAGTTGTTACTTGTTAAGTTGTTACCAGTTACCACTTACAGGTTTTTTCATCTTTCAGTTTGCTTACAGTTATTTTTACACAGTTATTTTTATGTTTCACCTTCCCTACGTGGATGTCTACTGCAATATACCAATCTCAAAAATAATCCTCATATATATACAAAAAAAACTTATTTTTATATGTATATGTGGATAATTTCTTAGATTGGTAGATTAAAGTTCACATCCATGTAGGGAAGGTAAAACATAAAAATAACTGTAACTTCTATTTACTGTATCTAATCCTGGGGTAACCCATACTAGTTTGGTTAGGTTGATTGCAATAAAGTTGCATTGATATGTTTTAAAAATGTTTTATTATCATTAAATGTTAATGAGTAAATCCCAATAGCAGAACAATAAATATTTAGAGATTTCCAATAATTTTGGCCATTGTAGCGGCTAATGTAGCACGCTACATTTTACTGTAGCGGTAGCGGTAGCGCCCGTTACAATCCAGTGGGTGTAGCGATAGCGGTAGCGCCCGCTATATTTAGAGCATGTAGCGGTAGCGGTAGCGCCGCTACATTTTCAAGTAGCGCTGCCCAGCTCTGCCTACTGCTTATCAATTTCTATTGACTCCTTTAAAAAGGTAGTATTGCAGTCATTTGCAGAGCATGAGGTAAACCATAGAAATTTATACTTATAAAGATATAGAAATTAGATGAATTTGAAGAATTAATTTATATATTTTTTCCTTTCTGTTTCCATGTTTATATGTTTATTCTAGTTTTGCTAGTGAAATGAATAATTTTATTCCACAATGAATGTTAGTCACTTGATCCGTCGCCGTGGCAATGATGAAAGCTCTGAAGAAGAATGTGAAAGCCTTACTACCAGCAATTTCAAAGGGAAATATTCTTTGGTCCCTGGTGCTACAAAGCAGGCTCACTCTACACCAAACTTGATAGCAAATGACACACACAAAACTCCAGAGTTTGCCAGTACTGGGAGACTGCCTCAACCTGCGATATCTGAAGTGAAACCCCTCATACCCAAGATCATTTGTCATTCTGCTGAATCTGAGGCATTTTCAGCCATCCATCCTGATGTATCCACTGCCTCAAACATCAGCTCAAGACCCTGCAACTTCAACACCAGTTCAGTATCTTTACAACAAAATCATACAAATGTGTTTGACTCAGTTCCTCAGCGCTGTGTGTCTTTTGGTGAAGCTATCCCTGAAGCAACCTCTCCCTCAGACTCACCACCTTCTCGTCCTCATTCAGGCTCTTGGACAGGTGTGAATGAGAGTGAAGATGGTAAGTGGTTGTTTGCATCTGTTTTCTTAGTAAATTTATCTTTTAATTTGTAGTTGTTGGTATTGATATTTAAACAAAAATTAAATTGATACAAATGTAAAATGTTTTTTTTAATTAAATTTGGATTTAAAGGCTGCTAAAATCTTTCATAGGTTTACTGCCTAAGCACTAATTTCAAATGGGTCATGTGGTTTTCATCGCAACAAAATTGCGCAATTGTATTGTAATGCAATACTAAATAAAGAGTTACCTATGATTATGGAAATGAATGTTGATTTTAAATCAATGTTATGGTAGTATTTATTAATGACCAATTGATGTATTTTTGTCCAGAGCTGGGCCAGCTGGCAGAGAGCCCATTGAGTGAGTCCCTGAACATAGGAGGCAGTGTGGACTATGGCTCCCTGGCTGACAGCAGCATTACTTGTCCTACAACTTCTCAGGAGCAATACCTGCAAGACAGAGAACATCAGGCTGGCAAGATGAGGCGGCAACTCAAGTAAGCTGCACTTTTATGTTTCCTAAACTTATACTAGTAATGATGTACAAGTAAACCCACTTTCCTCTTTAGGCATATGTCTAATACGTAGTCTTAATAGCTTGATCTTTATCAGAACTCATCTACTTTGATATTAAATAATTTTGTGCTTCATTTGCATTGTCAGCTTTCAGTTGTCACATCAGTCCAAATAATGGGATTCTACTGACATTTCTTTATGAGTCCTGATTGTTAATATTGAATGAGGCCAAATTTCAACTTTGTCAAGACAATATATTAATTATTTTCTTTATATACTGTGGTAACATATTGCTTTGCACCCACAATTCTCAGCCAAAAATCTACTGAACATTAATGCCTTTCCAGATTTTTTTTCATGAATCCTGTGGAGAAGTGGCATGCCAGACATCGTTTCCCATGGAAACTTTTACTGCAAGTCTTCAAAATAATCGTAGTTACTATTCAGGTGATACCCTGTAATTTATTGCTGCTCCTGATTGCTTCTTATTCATTTTATTGCCGAAATTTTTTTGAGGCTTCTCATTTATTCATGCAAGTCATTACTGGCTACCCACTGGCAGGAAAATGAATATAGAATTAATAATCAAAAACTATTCCTCCTATACGACAGATCAATCTAACTGTATGTGTTTAAACTAGTTTCATTTTGTCGAGAATTTTCCTAGTTGTGATCTGAAAATGGCGTCTGAGCTCTAGCATTCTCGATAGCTTACTTTAAGCTTTATAATACTGGTAAAGCCTAACAATCAATATGTCATCCAGGAAATTATGCCCTCCCATTTTATTCCATGTAATCGCTATCATACGTTTTTACTACATTGAATTACAAAATACAATCAGAACCTTAATACGTAGGTAATCTTGAAAGTTGAAACTCAAACTCTTCTGGATTTCAATGCCGCTAACCACGCCATTATATATTTTTCAGTTGTGGCTGTTTGCAGCTCAGCGGTACCTGCATGTGGCATATCTATGGGACACGCGCGTGTCTTTCTCACACATGTTCCTGCTGGGGTGGGAGAGCACCAGGGAGGTGCTGGCCTACCCGCCCTCTGATGGACCTCTCGCCGTCTACACCAGACAGGAATTTTACGACTACATCGACTTCGCCGTCGTCGCCGTGAGTGATGCTCGTGCTGTACTTGGACTGCTGCCCGGCACTACATTCTAGTTCTGCTCTGTTATTGCGTTTCTATTGCCATTAGAAATTATTTTAAACCAGTAATCTTCTTGTCTGCTGATAGAGACTGATGTAAACAGGAAAGTTTCTTCCAGTCTAATATGCGGACAATTCTTTTTGAATTGTATTTATTTAGTACTGACAGTAAAGTTTGTTTTAAAGGCTTTTAGTCAATAGTGATGGACCTATTATATTAATAAATCAATATACATTCTTGTATACTGACTATTGTTTGGTTTTTGGGCAGTATACAAATCTGAGCGACATCTCGATTGGGTCGTATGAGTATCACAGTGCAAACGACACGGTAATGCCATCACACTTCTGCTGTGAGCACTACACTGAATCTTTCGCCCGCCACCTCACTGGTGAGTCATGTGGAGAATCTTTATGGCCATAACAAGGAAACACAACTCGAACTTGTATGTCGTCTTTCGGAGATATGGTTGACATATGTTGGTATGTGTAAAAATCTCTGTGAAAACATTTGTTTGATAACACTGTAGCAAACTCGTGCAGACTTGATGACGTTTCTCTGTATCAAAATAGTTAAGTTTTTAAAGGAGCCAAGGCTGACCAAAGAATAGCAGGCAGTGAAAAATCTTGGCTCTTTTAATTTTTATTGGGCGATGTGAAGGTGAAATTTTTCATTCCCAGACAGTTCATTTAATGCCTGGCGTTCATTGTTCAGTGATTTGGTTGGGTCCTCCCTCGTTCAGTCTACGTATACTGTTTATCATTTACTTAAAACATATCTCGTGATGCATCCTAACGGAAGTAAAAAGATGTATATAATACATTAATCGCGCATGTATCAACTAACTTATCGTGTTGGAACATTAGGTGGACTTGGGATTTTATTTTCACTTGGAGAATAGTTTAAACTGCATGCTTAACTCGTCAATTAACTTCAGAATGCATTGACATTCCGTGGGCGGCTGTGAGAGCTGCAAAAGTTTGGTCAGCGCTCGACTTCTTTGACTCTCGCAACTTCACCGTAGCCTTCGACACGCTCCTTAATTGCCAGTATTTCTTCAAAGTCAAGGCAGTCAAACTACGCTCAGAACCTTCGTCTCTCGCCCCGGACTGTTACAACCTCACCACAACCGTGAGTACTTCTGTACTCAACCTCACCACAACCTTGGGTACCAACTACACTCGACGTCCTCACCATAACCATGAGTCCTCAACACAACCGTCAGTCATCACTACACTCGCCCACATCTCATCAAACCACCTCCTGACTTTATAGTCCTTGTTAGTGTCTCCGTCCTGCCTTAGAATTCGTAGATTGTTTAACGTCCATAATATCCATCAACTCGTCTTCCTCTTTCTTTCAACTGATGAGTATTGATAAATTTCCAAGTTCTGATCAATTGATAAGTTAACTAAGGCAGTCTTTGGAGTTTTTTGTTTTGTATTAAATAAAATGCTAACTATAAGTGTATTTGTACTTTTAGGAGCATAATTATTGAGTAGGTACCCACATCTCATCGGGTCGAATGTAAGCCTAAATTTGGAGAAGCTCCAGCGAGCAGTTCATGTGCAGTTGGTGTTCGACAACGACGACCGGGACGGCCAGATGTTGGTGGGCCTGAACATCGAAGCTACGGTGTTGTCCTGCCACAGCGACGATGACAACCACACTCCCCAGCCTGAGGCAACCACCATCAACATCCTCACCATGATCATGTGCTGCCTCTCCCTGCTTATGTGCTGCCGCTCTCTGTACCGAGCACAGCTACTTAGATACGTGCGTCTTGTGGTATGCAGTGAATAGTTCGAGGGTCTGGCACTTTGCTTTGGTTTTTTTGGGGTATTGCAGTCCACAGTGAATATTTTAACTGTCTGATATTTCGGTTTACCTGTAGGTTTCTTAGACTCTCCAATTAATGCTGCAGTTGCATTTTCAAATTTCTGGTTGGCAGCTTCAAGTTTATTCATTAAGTTGCACTTGTGACTAAACTGTATTTCGAATCAAATAGTCTTGTGTTAGTTTGTTACTGAGTGTTGAACAAAGTCTCAAAATTCAGTTAAGTGCTTGAATTTCAGACAAACTTCGACAACTCCTCTGACTGCACATTAATCTTTGTGGTTATCATAAATTTTCTATTGCTAACGTGATGCCATGTTGTTGCAGTCGTGCGTGACGTTCTTCCACACGTACTACCGCAAGACGCTCAGCAAGTGGGATGAGCTGGAGTTCTGCAACTTCTGGTACGTTCTCATCTGCATCAACGACATCCTCATCATCATCGGAACTCTCCTCAAACTCGGGCTCGAAAGCAGGGTCAGTTCTCGCTATTTCTCTCATATTTTTATATGAATCTTTGTGTAGTACAGTCTGCACACTATAGGCTCCAAAACTTTGATGAAACGTGAGCGGTGCCAGCTTTGCAAGAAGCATGTAACTTTCAAAGCATAACGTGACATGCACACGCAAAAATCTTCAGCCATCTCTTTCTGAAGCGTTTACGGGCTTATCTAATCTACATATATCTGCATTAAACACTTCCTCAAAATTATTCTAGAAACTTTTTTTATTGAAATATCGTGCAGTTCATGAATGTTTTTTATTTACTTCAGTAGCCTTCATGTGTACGCAACCGTACTTGCATTGTCACTAACCAAGTAGCATAGTCTACCAGACTTGCCTCATTTTTCCTTCTATCGCTTTCTGATTAACCTTGCCACAGTAGTTTACGCTTATTGCTTCTCTCCAAGTTCATTTCCCTGAAATGATATTTCCCTAAATTTCGTATATAAGCATAGAAAATTTTGCCTTTGAAATTCCATCTTATAGCTGAACATTGCAAAAATGATTAAAATCTCGTTCAATTTCAGCTTCAAATTCTTGGCGTAGCCCTGGCTGCTGTGGTCGCATCTAAGTATTCTTTGTAGCGAGTAGTGCATTTGTAATCTATAATTGTTATTATAAGAATCTATTGTAGGGGGTTTTAAATGCCCATTTAGAATCAGGCGCAGGGTCTCTATCTTCAAGTTCACATCTTAGCTGTTGTAATGAATGTTTTGGCTGACTACCATCTATTTATTGATAACATCCGATACGACTTTCGTTACAAACAAATAACGTTTTTCATATGTAATCGTGAGTCCGTGAAAGGCCTTGCAGAAACAAAACAAAATAGCTGCGGTATTGTATGCAACTTGCTTAAACCTTAGCTTCTAAGCAACGCGTACATGATTTTAGCTTAATAATTGGCAAAGAAACTACCGTATTCCATTTGATTCAGTAAGGAGCATGTGAATATCTTTACAAGTCCAAGTTTATCTCAATTGTGATGGAGCTCAGTAATTGAAGTAGCGCAGGAATACGCATGTACACAGTGGTTAGGTTGAGAGCTGTAGGGAGACTGCAGTGTGCGGAGCACGTGTGGCATTCAAAGCTCACCTGCTATGTCTCTTTTGCAGATGCTCGGCGACACCACCGCACAGGTAGCCATCTTTACTTACCTTATTTGCCTTTTCTAACTCGCTTGTATATTTGCCTTACTTATTTTTCCTAACTCGCTTGTATACTTGCCTCAGTTAGTCTTCTTAAATTGCTTACTTTCTACTAACCCGAATTGCCCAGCGTGACTCACTTGTTTACCAGCTTAGTTGCGTGCGTGACTCACTTGTTTACCAGCTTAGTTGCCGTGCGTGACTCACTTGTTTACCAGCTTAGTTGCGTGCGTGACTCACTTGTTTACCAGCTTAGTTGCCGTGCGTGACTCACTTGTTTACTTAGCTTAGTCATCTCATTTATCTCACTTATGTTCCGGACTTATTTATCGCTGCCGCCACTTGTATTTGTTGCCGCCGTCACGTTGTCTTTTTAGTCTAATTTGTTAACTTAATTTGCCGTAATTTCTGTACCCTCTAGCACGGAGGGGGGGGGGGAATTGAATGTCCTGTTATGGAGACTTATCAATTATAGATAATAGAAAATTTCAAATGGAAACTTTTAGATTCCAAAGATCCGACAAATATCATGGTACACAATCTTGGCGTTTTGATATTATAATTGCTTCGCCAATTGAGTTTATTTAAGTCTAAACTTCCCTGAAATAAATCCCTAGTGAATAGATCAGTTAGTATAAATGGGTGATGCATTGGTTTAAATATTCGGGGCCGGAAGAAACCAAATCCTGCACACATCTCAATTGATATTATACCGTAAATTCATAACCCTGCTGGAATAAAGACATAATTATGACAATTCAATTTTTCCTAACGTAGACTGGGCAACAATGATGCCTACGACGCATTGCTGCGCTCTAATGCTAAAGTAGCTGCTGCTTGCTCTAACTCCCTGAAGCTTCTTCATCTTTATTTAGTAATGCATGCTCCTTCAATTGATATTTTTGTTTGCCATATTTCACTGAACTTAATCTCTATTAACGATTCATGAATTACATGCCGTTGTGTACTGCTTTTATTGCTGCTATCAAAGCGCGCTGGTTGATGGGTGAATATTTCACATTTTAAGATCAGTGAAGCTTTATCATGATAAATACTATACCCTATACCTACCATATTAACCTATTACATTTCTTCAATAGTTCTGTCTCAAATGCGTTGCACAAATTTCCACTTCTGAACAAGTCACTCTCTATTACTAATAGAAGATATTATAGTAGAAGACCGAGCAGAAGATCTCTATTATAATATCCTCCATTATAATAGAAGATATTAGGTTGTCCGAACGGCAACGCCTTGCCTGTTTTTTTTTTCTTCCGTGTCGAAAACTAATTTTTGGTTTGTGCTCAGTTTCCATGTGGTCGAGGTAAGTCGAATAGATCGCCGGGTCTTAAGTCCAAGTTTTTCGTGATCTGTTGTAATCCTTCATATGTACCGCAGTCGCGATCCTTCATATGTACCGCAGTCATGATCCTTCATATGTACCGCAGTCGCGATCCATTGCACCAGACGAGGGCTAACTGCCTTCTGTTTGCTTGCAACACAACCAAGGCCGGACGTGGTGATAAGTACACGTGACTGTTGATGTCTCCTCCGTTGCAGGTGCTGCGTGTCAACAAGTCTGAATTTGTTAAAGGAAACCAATTCGTGAGTCAAAACTTCACGTCTCCTAAATATGTTTGAATTATTTCAGTGTGGGTTAAAAAAGTGTACTTCTTCACAAGTGGGTTGGGCTTCCATTGCGGTATGTTAAGTCTTGGATTGATGCGTGCAAACGCCTGCTCTACGTATGTTCCTTTAGGCTAATGTTAGTAATGACAACTGAGGCATAAATGTTATGTTCATCGATATTCATCATTCGTGGACAACCGAACGTATGCTACTTGATTCCATAGATTTTTAGCTACATATCTGTGAAATTTCTCGATTTCCCAAAAATTATTTATGTTGTCGTTAGTATGATAATTTCATTGGAATTGTCTGTGGTGTTGAACGGCTTGTGTGACCGAAATGCTGCCGCATGATTGTCGAGATCGATTCGGTGCTATGTAAACTGAAAAGTTAATATCAGATTTTCGCTTCCAGTTTATGAACCGTGTTTTTCTTGCTAAGCCGCTATTTTCATTTGCCTGGCGATGCACTAATTATTAAATTATTTCACTTTATTTTCTTACTTACTACTGCACGAAATCTGTTGATGTTACTCATCAGAGAAGCTTGTATTTTTTGTATGCTCGAATTGAAGAAATATTTCGATTCTTGGCTGGAATCAATCATAGTCTTATTCACGCATGAATTCCTTTGAGTTTATTACATGGCCTATTTTTGATTTTTCCATTTTTGATGTTCACAATCACTTGTCCGAAAACCAGACCTTATTCCCAGGATAGTTCCTCATCAAAACCAGCGAGTATTGCCACATTTGGTCCTAGCTTATGTTAAACCTTTGTTTAGAGGCTTTCACACACACCCTGAATATATTTAAGCATATAATTCGTTACGTAGTTTTCGGACAATATATTGTGAAGAGGAACCTGCTTCTTACGACCTTCACTTTCGTGAGTGTCGTGTTTTAAGATTTGAGATGCTGACAAGATAAGTGTGTTCGTCGTCGTCAAAGTAAGCTTATTTAACTGCACGACCTGTTGAGGCGGAGCCGTGTGAGTGTGGCTAGTGCCACACTAGGCTAAGTGGCTAGTGCCACACTAGGCACTAGGCTAAGTGGCTGTGCTGCATGTTGCTTCAACTCATTTTTGCTTGTTCTCGCTCTCTTAGAGCGGTGCGATTTTGTGATTTATCTCTTGGATATTTATTCACCATTTACTAATCCTGTTGCATGATAGTCGAAAAAGAAACTATTATTTTATTTAGTGACCTAGTGATCTAGTAAATAGTTAGTGATTCAATCTAGTGATCTAGTGATTATTTTATCTAGTAAGGAAATAAATCATTAATCTGATACATTAAATTTGGTAACATCTGCGGGAATTTTAGTCTCAGGCTGAGAATGTCGCCTCGTATGGAAATTTACGAAGATCTTATTATTATTTCGCGATCTTATTATTATTTTTCAACGTCCATGATCTGCATTTCAAAATTATGTATGATATATACAATACGTAAAAATATATCTGGTTGCCGCGGAAATATAGTGGCTTGGTAAATAATATCAGTTGCTACCTTCAGAACCACGAAGGCTACATGGACACGTGGAACATCTGCTCTCTCTTCCTCGGTGTAGGCAACCTGCTCGTGTGGTTTGGCTGCCTCAGATACCTCGGCTTCTTCCAGACCTACAACGTGAGTTTCCATCTCAATCTACCATTTGCCGTATTACTTATTACTCATGATAACTCTTATTCTATCGAACTGTCCCGATAGCCGCAATTATCTTACTCAAGGCTAAATGTCCGCTGTAAGTTGTTTGGTCGGCAGAATAGACAAGAAGCCAAGAGGTCATCATGCCATCTCTATTGCTTCCGCAGTTTCGAGCCACGGCTTTGTCTCTATTGTGGTTGCAGTGACCGCTTTATTATGATGGTGTTCATGCTAAAACTGGCTGCTGGATGAACACTTGTAGTGGTGCTTCGACTGACACAATTTGTGAGTTTTCAAATTTCTCCACAGTAAGTATCAGTTTATGAGCTTGGTCATCAAAGTTTTTATTCACCTATTCCTCAATTGTGTATTTGAAAGTGCGTGTTTGAACAGGTGCTGATCCTGACGCTGAAGAAGTGCCTGCCCAACGTGCTGCGCTACTCCATATGCATCACGATGCTCTTCGCGGGCTACTGTCTCTGTGGCTGGCTCATCCTCAGTCCCTACCACATCAAGGTTCAAATCTTCCTATCACCTTATTAATTTGCTTGTAAAATTCTGTTTATGAATAATAGCAAATTAATTGACATTATCGACTCATTTTAGACTTAGGATTTTCTTCAATCAGCCTTGATTTTTATTGCTCTGTTGAACCAAATTTACACACGTATTGTAACATTTTTGATCAATTTCCAATAGTTTCCTCACACTCGACTGTTTTTCACAGTGAAAACTTTCCCTAATTTTTAACTTTATAACGGAAACATTGTATAATTCCTTTAACTTATTCACTGCAAGCTTATGTGAAGCATGCATAATTCTGCCATGCCACGTACAATGCTAATACTTCTAATAGTTTTTATATTATAATAGTTTTTTGCGTACAGTTTCGGTCGCTGTCGACGACGATGGAGTGCCTGTATTCCCTGATCAACGGAGACGACATGTTCGCCACGTTCTCGTCTACGTCAGCTAAGGACCCGGTGATCTGGTGGTTCAGTAGGATCTACCTCTACTCCTTCATATCCCTCTTCGTCTACGTCATCCTATCCCTCTTCCTTGCCATCATCATGGATGCCTACGACACAATTAAGGTTTGCATTTAAATGGCGTTCACTATGATGCCATTGTATCCTGATCTGTTCAGACAATCATGTAATCAAACTTCATGCATTTAGGTCACACATTTTGTCCAAGTAATCAAGAATGCTTTTGAAATTTGATTAACAATGTTTTATTTGTATTAAATTTCCGGGAGCGAGACACACAATGTACTTTTTAATTATTATTGTGATTAATTATATGCTTTATGGATGCTTAACGGTTTTCAATGGTAGGAAGTTTATATTCGTACTCTGTATTGTGAGGTACTGTCGGTAGCATTGTCGAGCGAAATTGTTCGGGCAGAGATACTATGCAGAAGGCTTCCCCAAGTCGCCGCTGCAGAAGTTCGTAGAGGAGTGCCAGGAGGACGCGACGAGTCACGTCTTCAGGGAAGAGGGCGACCGCACCATCCACGACCTCGTCAACAGCGTCTGCTGCTGCTGCCTCTCGCGCTCATCTGCTGCCAGGTACTGTAATGTTTCTTGCTGCTGCTGCTGCTGCTGAGGCCCTGTGTCCTTCAGTACCGGGTAATTGCTTCGCTTCTTGCTGCTGCTGTGTAAGGATTTACTCAATCGAGTTTCGATTCAAAGGTTTATTTAATAAATTCAGAACAATTAAAATTGGCTGGAAGCAGCAACGGCGCTTTCAGTAATAGCCACGATGCTTCATAAGGTTTTCATTCATTTATTTATCCTCGATGAAGTAAAATTCAGTAAGCAATAAAATAATATTGGCTTGTTCCGAGCGTGGCTAAGTTTAAAGGGCTTCAGATGTGGTCTCCCAGGTGCTGCGACGTAGCCGTGACGTCAGACAACGTAGACGTTACGTAAAAGAAATAACGTAGCACGGAGGAAAGGCTCATAGACAACACTGGACCCGAAACTTGATGAATGTAGATACTAGAAAAGAATAAGCATAATCTTGGTCAGGTTCATGCAGGATCTGACAGTAAAATTAATTATCAGCAATTTCAGCAACAAAGAACAAATTAATTTAAGATCTCAACTGACCTGAAGTTTTTAATGCCCAGTGTTATGACTTTATGACAATGGAATAAATGAAGAGTTTAATTTAAGAAATTTAGAGGAAATCAGTCAGAGGAGTAGGAAGTTGGACGGAAGAAGACAGCGAGAATAGCTAAAGGTTTCACTGCGTGTTGAAAGAAGATGAAAGACTTAAATTAGGATTGCACATTCCGAAACAGTATAGCCAACTGCCATCGTGAATTGCACGAACCCTCTTCTCGCATAATAGAACTATCGATATTTAATAAACTTTGATTATACTTTGAAATAATTTAAAATATTTGCTAGAATTTGCTATATATATTTATCATACCATATATTTAATAACTTCGATATATATTTGAAATAAACTTAAACTTTGCTATAGATTTGAAATATATTAGATATTATTCTGATATAAATTTGTTTAAAATGATACATTTAAAATACGTGTCCAACTTCCCACAGGAGCAAAAATAAGCATAGGTAGTGCAAACCAAACAAAAGGAAAATGACACGGCATTCGCACAAAATAAGGGACAGCGAATCAGGTTTATAGGAAGTTTGAGAAATACTTGATGATTGACGAGTAAGAAGCTTCTGGAGACACATGATTATTTCACGGCACAAAACTGTAGTTCGTAAGTATCACAGATTGACGACCACCGCTCGGAACTGCTTAATGAATCTAAGAAATCTCACTAGCTTGTTCGCCCAGTCTCGGACATTGACTTGTCCGCGCAAGCTGGACAAGAGGCAACCGCACTGCGTCGGAAATAAATAATTCAAGATTACCTTTATTATTATGGAAGATTGTTTGGAAATAATATTTAGCTTGGAAATTACAGAAATAATAGGTGAAAAATTTATAATTTCTCACAGCTGCTGAACCAATTCTTCCCTGAACCATGAAGTCTCAGTCGCGTCAGCACGCTTCAGAACTTGCATTAACTTGATAACTAGCTCTACCTGCTCACTTGTCTCGCCGAACTAATTTTTTACAGCCAATGAGGTTAGGTTTGGTCCGCTCAGGTTTGTTTTGGGTGAAGAAATGTTGCGACGTGAGAAGGTTGGGTTGGATTAGGTAAAGCTAGATGCAGTATGGCCATGCTTAATTTAGCATGCTTAAGCGATGGTTGTGGACTTACGGCATTTCGACTTTGACTTCATAGGCTGTTGTGCACTGTAGCGTTCTTACTTACAGAAAGGAATATGAACTAAATTGTGAGTTGGGCAGAGCTGGCCTCCGACATGCATCCCGCCTTGCGTAACCCAGTGTCTTGTCATTGTTTGCTTTTTACTGCTTTCTCTTGTGCTTGGGGTTTCTCCAATGTCAGGGGTAACGAATAACTATTACACTACATGTAGCCACTAGTTTGCTTTTTTACTGGTTTGAGGAGAGTCAGTTTCTTTGTCATGCTCTTCGGATCTTGTCGATCGCTCGTGATACTAATCTGGGACATGTATAATGCACAACGTGTCCCCACCAGCATTAAAATTATCTCAAAATTATTTTTAAATGAGTGTGGAGTAAATCGTAGATCTCACTTCTGCTTCAAATGGTGTGTGTCAAAGATTCTTGCTCGGAAGAATGTCAGTTTCAGATTAGCCCCTGGGTGAGTTTTCAATTATTTCAATTTTGTTTTAGGAGAGATTCGACTGCGGAAGAGCGGGAGCCGCTGATCCCTTGACGCTGAAGTCTGCCAGGAAACTACGAGAACTGCTACCGCTCAGCCAAGATCTCGCCTTCTACTCTACGTTGAATAGAACGTCGTTTGCCTTAATCTATCATCATATTCAACATCATTTTATAATCGTGTATCTAGTTAGTAATTGTATTCTAAATGGGAGGTCACCTCAACTATGGTACTCAAGTGCTTCAAGGTCGTAGTTTCCAATTTCTTTAGTTTCAAAGGATTATTCCACTCAAATGACATGCAAGCACGCACTACACGGCTGTGTTCTCTTTTACTTTGGCAGTGTTTACCTCACTACTGAACATGTGGCCCGTAAAGTCAGTAAACGCAACCGTCCTCCGAGAACCGCACTTGCTACCCTCCGTTTTTAAGAATGGTCTGGAAATCAACCTCCCTTATTGCGAAGCCCAAGATAAATCAATTATGGTTTTTACTAATTTACTAGGATGCATCAGTGTTAAAGTGTAATTCTCTTGCTGCAGTGGTAATCAATGACTGGTTTTTAAGTACTTAAAATCTCAGACGGTTATAACCTGAAGATTTATGTGCTATTCGTTGCTTATATTCCCCGACATGACAGGTTGCTTTATCGTCAACGTGGCCTTGCAGATTGCTTTAAGTTTTTTAAACGCGTATTTCTTTCAGGTATGCGAAATATCTTACTATATTAAATTTTACGAAGCAGTTTTAATCTCATTTTAGATATATTAATCCGAACGGATTACAGTCTCTGTGTCGACGAGATTTTTTTATATGATCCCTATTTAACGTAAGAACTGTAAGTATATAGATACATTCAATCATCTACAATATTTTAGGTCTTTGTCTTCAATAGTTCATCAAATGGCAATTGCATCAAAATTTAAGAAGTATCATAGCGTTCATTAGGAGTTCATAGCACAAAGCTAAGCTTGTGTGAACCACCTACTTAAATTCCTGTTCATTTTATGAGCTTCTTATTAATGTACGAAGCGCTTTTCTCAGGGAACCCAGGTCCGCTAAAATTGTACAGCATTACAAACCATGTTTTACAGCAGGTGCTTCGTCGTCTGAGTGTTCTCCAGCTCAGTAATTACGACGCATCCCTCAGACATGAACTGATGTCCAAACGTGATACTTGCAGCAGCCATTGCCATAATTTATATTCATATTTATTTGTCTTCTTATACGCACATTCATGTATTTTTTCAATAATTTTTTTACTAAGATGAGTATCCAACTTTTGGTTCTGATTGCCTCCTAGCCCGTGCGTCAGTGAACAATATATAGTCAGTGTTGGTCACACATCATTGACCACGGCGTCAGTCAGCGGGGCCATGGACTCCACTTGTTTCATCATCAGTCGGAAACTGATATATAGGGAAATATATAGGATATATAGGAAACTTACAGGAACTTTGCGGTTTCCGACATGCCATTTTATGTCACACGAGAAGTGCTTGGCGTGAGCACAAATGATCACTGTCTGTAATCTAAGTTTTATTAGTTATTTTGCATTAATGTAATCGATCCAAAAATATTATTTGCTTTAAAAATTATCTACATGTTATTCTTGGATATACATGCTTGCAACATAGAGGTTTATTCTGATATATTTATGGTGGTTAGCCTATGAAAATGGGGCTTTAAATTTGTATGACAAATGAAAGTGATTTCGTAGCTAAAAATTATATGAAACTTTATTAGTTCGCATATTGAAACTGAGTATTCCAAAATAATTATGTAACAAGACAGTATTTTGCTCTAAGCTGATCATTTAGGTGTAAGCTGATCCAGGATGATCATTTTTCCGGGTAAAATATATTTTTTAATAAACTACGGATTTAGATCCTCCTCAGATTTAGTTTTTTAGTTGTATCTGGCTTCAATAAGCTGCATCTTCTGTACTCTTAATGGAACAGTATTGTAGGAAACAAAAACATGACTTGCTCAATTTTGTTGTGATTTGTGTGGCTTTATGATGTCTATTACACCATGGAACTCTCGGTGCTATCAAATCTCTTCGTTGTTGCTTACAACGAAACTACAAATATCTTGTTTGTTTCATTTCTATGGCAGGTTAACTCGGCTGTTTTGTGCGCGTCTTATGGATAATCATCCCCATTGGGCCTTGTCGTCAGGGTTTATTATGAGCGCAACCGATGTATAATTAATAGTTTGATCTTTTCTTTGATGTCCTTTGAGTTGAGAAGTCCACGCAAGTTAATGAAGATGCTACTTGTTAACTATGCTACGAGTGACCATTACGTTGTAGGACGTTATATGCATTGCGTCACTCATTATCGTTCATCACAATCCTTGATGAGCTCGTGGCTTTCTTGCAATTTTTTTTTATATTATTGCCCTCCAGGATTGTGGTTTCTCCAGCCATAGCTGATATCGTGACATACACCAATAACGGATATTCTACGTTAATATTGCTAGGTCTTATTTACGTCGGTACTGAGAACACTGATAGAGGATGGTAATTGCGTGAATGTTAAAGGTATAGCAAGATCCTTTTTGCAATTTTCTTGGATATTTGTGATACAGCCGACGTCAGTCCAGGGTTATAAGAGGAATTATTGATGTATTTATAAATAGCTCCGGACTATAATTGCATCACAGCGATGCATATTGTTTACAGAGAGATTTGTAATTACACTGCATTGAACTGTTTGCTCGGGACATTTCATGTATGGCTTCTTTTTGAATGGTTGGAAAAGATGTCTTCCACATAGGTTATAGCGAATAAAATGGATCTTTATTTCAAAATTCTTTACTCCACCTATATTTTTTTTACGTGAACGCGTGCCATTTAACATGAACTCCCTAATAAGATTTTTCAAGTGAACTTTTTTCAGAGTAGCCAAAAAGGCACTGGAAATAAGTTTATTCTTCATTTGCCACCACCTGTCTTCTGAGATCCTGACGCTACTCTTATTCCCGTCATTGCGTTGGCCATCGCGCGCGTAATGAATGACATTCAAGAAATATTTAATGGTCTAAGTTTGGCCACCTTGTTCGTGATGATGTTTTCCTTTCAACACGAGGTAGCTTGTTCTTATTTGCTATTTACCTTTAATCCTGCTATAATTATATTAAGTTTTTTTAATGTAAATGCAGTCTTGAGTGCTGCTCAAGCTTGGTCTTGCGGACCAGTCAGCCTAAAACCTAATTTAGTCAATAATATATTGTTTATTGTATGCTTATTGTAGGTCATTTATGTATTGCTTCCAACATGCAGTACGCTATTTCTATGAGTGAATGCAGTATTTTGAGGATGGAATAAAAATATAAATCACATAGTTTCTGGACCGCTTCCCGTGAAAAATTGCGAAATAGGCTGCAGTTTAAATGTAACGTCCATTCGGTGTTTCTTAGTTGCATGATTATTTATTCAATAAAATTGTAATCAAATGAATTTTTGTTTCCGATTCTGGTGTAAATCAAAGATTTTGAAAACCAGACACCATTGTTGTCTTTGCTCTAAAATCTCGGTTTTATTTTGACCTGTTCTAAAATCTGAGGCTCATTTTGTCGTATACATTCACAGGGAGCCTTGAACAAAATATACGTTCTTACTTCTCATATGTGTGTGGCGACGCCACAACTCAACGCCTGCCACATACCTTGCTCTTAACATGTGTGGCGACGCCACAACTCAACGCCTGCCACATACCTTGCTCTTATAGTGTGTGGCGACGCCACAACTCATCGCCTACTACATACCTTGCTCTTATAATGTGTGGCGACGCCACAACTCATCGCCCGCCACATACCTTGCTCTTATAATGTGTAGCGACGCCCAGCCACACAATAGAAATGTTTTAGTGGCATCTGCCATCCTACTTCGTTTTAGTTTTGGTTTGCTTGTGAGATCGCAGTCCTTCAAGTTCTGACATTCAGCTAATAGTTGAACAAGTCACTCTCATTGATGAAAGGTTGGTGGAGAAACGTCTTCTCACTCTGACCAAATTTAGTCAGACGTCGCGCAGGGAACAGGTTTTTTTCATTCTAGTCATGGGAAATGATGGATAACCCAGCGACCTGGACGCCTCCTTAACAAATCATTATCAATATTTCTTATGATGATGTGCATGGGCATGAGAAAGTTGGATTTGTTTTTGTTGAAATCATCCGTGTAATTTGTTAATGATGCAAGAGTGCGAGACCTTCCTTCTGAGTTCTGAAGCCCTGCAAGCTTGCATCACAGCCTCCTCCTCACATCCTAGCCTTCTGTGACGGATCAAAGCCTTGAGCATTCTAAAGTCAGGACTCCGTAACGATCGTCCCATTTTCTCTGCCGAGATTTTTGCCACCTTATATGCCCTGACGTACCATGTTGCCAAGGATAGCTCCTACGGCCTACCTACTAGCTTTCGACTCTCAGCTCTCGACATCGCAGCACTTTCACACTAAATCTCATTTTTTATATATCAAATACCGCCTGTATCCCATCTCCTGTACCAAATAAATCTATTCTAGACTCGGTCCAACCCACATGAATGTAGAGGGAAATGAACGGTCAAACCACGTGGCTCACAAGACACCAGCAGTGCCACACAGGGTGACACCATCCTTAACCGACCAGACTAACTAAAGCACCTGCATTTATCCTAATTCCATTCTCTGTGGAAACGCCAATGGGACACCAATTTCTCTCCTTCGCTAAATTCCTGTCGTACAAAAACTACCTTGACCTATGTCCAGATATGAACGGCGTACCGTGATTTGATAGCCTGATATTAAAAAATGAACAAAAATAAGAAAAAAAACATATATAGGATGAGCTCACTAAAGTTTTCTCATGCATTAATTCGAACGAATGGGTATCGTTGTCAAATGTTATAATGCTTTCAAAATAATTTTCGACACATTTTGTAAACATATAAATAATCCTTTTGAAGCCTCTAAAAATCAAATTATCCATTTTTTTTTGCATTTAAGAGTTTGCTAGACTCGCTTCAAGCCCTCGATCTGCAATAAAATTTGACTTAAATCCAACATTTAAATGTTTTAATACATTTACTTTTAACTTTATTTCAGAAAATCAAATTTTTTGTATTAAGAGTCTGATATCACATTTAGTAATCATTCAAACATCTATTTTTAATTTAAGTTATGTAGTTCTATTTACAATACGTTCAAAAGAGATATGAAGGATCAATGTTATAAAGGCGGTTTTCAATTGTTAAAAGCCCTACACCAGCGCAATATTCGTTCATCTATACAACTTTGTTTTGTTTACCAACGATGTTTCTAATGCATGAAAGAACTATCAGTGATGGTGCTGGCTTCAGTTTGGTGTATGGCAAGAAATCAAGCTATTTAACGATCATGAATTTTTACAAATTGTATTTATTAAAGTGTATTACGTTGGAAATGCGATGAGAGACTTTCGGTATCTGGTTTCATTAAATATCAGGCACATTGTTCAACTTGAAGCGCATGTCTATGCAACTGTGTTTGTGCCAGTGAGCCAGTCTGTCTAAGTCTCGATTGAAGAAAATGATTAAAAATGCTATTGCCATTATGATAGAGAACATATTTTCTGATTGAATATGTCGAAATGAATGCAGTAAAATTATATGTTTCGACTTGTCGCCTTGTTTTGAAGGCTGACTTTGAAAAAGAGTCATCATGGTCGGATTTGGATTGTTTACTTTCAAGTTTGCGCACGGCTCTTAGTTGTTTTGCTTGTGGAAAAACTTTAAGCCATCCTCACTCTTCAAACAATGCTATGTGCCAACATCATGTTTGCAAATCCTGTTTAGATAACAATTTATCTTTGAAAGTGAATTGTTGTGAGTGCAAAAATTACCAAATGTTTTCAGAAAATAAACAACTGTCTATTTTATTGGAGTGTTATAAACAATTATGTGAATATATCAAAATATCTCCACTTTTTCAAAAACTAGTTGAATATGAAAATGTACAGAATCAAAATGAGCTTCTGGCAATTGTTGGACATGAAAATATCTCTGACACACCTGTGGTTCTAAATTCACCTGTGTCACAGACATGTATTCCTGTGCCAAATGTGTGTTCAAGTGATGAAGTTGTTAGTCCTGAAAATGGCAGCCCTATGCAAATTGAAATACAAGCAAAAATAGAGAAAACATGGTCTTTTGATGGGCTAAGTGAAAATAACGTTTTTAATGATGTTGAAAATTCATCAAATGTTTGTATGTTCGAAAACAGACATTTTAAAAATATTAATCACTCTGAAAATTATTTGGATCAAAATATCAAAGGAGAAACTTCTCAATCTATAGAAAATGCACCTGTGTTATCTCCAATACCTGAACAGTCAGATATTATTTGTTCTGGTGAAATTGCGCCTGCATTGTCTCCTATTCTATTTAATCCAGATCAATTGAAAGTCATCAAATCTACAATTGGAGAACCTATTTTTCCTAATGTCAAAATTCCAAGTAATTTAGTTAATTCCAAGATTGAGTTGTCAACATCATCAAACTATGAGACAGAAACAAATTCTGACAGCTCATCTTTATCTTCTATCTCAAGCTCGCTTGAAATATCTCCTGTACTACATCCACTTGGAAATTCTCCGGACAATCCAGTCCAGGAGCAGTTGGATGAGTTTAATCTTGTTCCCTCATTTACTGCTGCATCAGTTCTGGGACTTCCATCTTCTCCTGACTTGGTGGTATCTTCAGCTGCAGATGTATTGGAATCTCTTGAAGAAGAGGAAACATATGATGACTTGTCTAATATCAATTTGTCTGCTTGTCCTTTGTCAACTATTGAGGAGGAAGACGTGCAGAATGAAGTCACTTCTCTAGCAAATTCTGGACTATCATTTTCTATTGTTCCAAGCTCCTTATCAGTTATTCCTGAGAAAGACTCCAAATCCGTATTGAATAATTTACCTAAAATACATGAAAGAAATGTATCTCTTACTAAAGATTCTTCTTTATTATATATATCTGAATCCATAAAATCAAAATTGCCTCCATGTACTTCTGTAAGTTTGAATGAACCTACAAGTATTAGCCAAAGTCAAACTAACTCCACTGTCATTGCTTCTGTTGCTAGTGGAACTGCACAGTTGATGCAATCTGTAAGCATCAATAATGTCCAAAAAGCAAACCCTGTCATTGCTCCTCATCCATTAACCATTAGTTCTAGTGCTAATTCTTTGCCCCAAACTATTGTTTCAAATTTGTCCCCTACAAAACCATCAACTAATTATTTAGTAAACAATATTAATCAATGCTTGATCACTCCAATTTTATCTCCCAATCTCAAAACCAGTATGATGTCGCCTGATGAAATACAAACAATCATTGCATCTAATGCACTATGCAGTATCAATTCTTCTCTCCTACACACTCCTTTGTCAGGATCATCAGTCCTGCAAACTTCTGTTGTACCAAATGTTATATTGCAGCAGGCACCATCCCAAATAGTTCACAAAGCAATGACATCAGAGCCTCTAATGGCTTCTAAGCCCATGCATCCTATCATACCAAAAGGTTTGCCTAATACTTTAAATGGAAATGCACTTGTTGTGTCAACAAGTGATAGTAATTCTTTGATAAAATCATGCAACTTATTACTAACTCCTGCTACTTCTAATTGTGACTCACCAAGACTGATAGTTGGGAACTGTAATCCAAATCTTGTTCACCAGACATTCCATCCTGTCATGTCTCATCCAAAATTTAATTCTTCTTTAAATCAAAATTATATTCCTTATTCAGTGCCATCAACTGCTTCTGCAACTGCTAGTCTTCCTATAAGCTACTCATTAGGTGCCTCAACTCACCACAGTCCTTCCATTGCCTATACAGTTGCTTCCACATCTGCTGCTAGTGCTTCTGTGTCATCTAATTTCCTCAATATTGTACCCGCTGGGACAATTTTTAGTACAAATATTAATGATAGAAAAATGAATTCTGAAACACCTACCAAAAGTTCTCCAGTTCTAAATAATGGAGCATCTTTATACTCTGTTATGTTTTCTGAGGGAGACAGTACAAAAATTACTATTAAGAGAACTCCTCCCGAGAATAGCTTTGTTGCTAATCCTAGTTTAAATACTGTACATAAGGTTCCTCAAATTAGACCTGATCATGTAGTAAGTGTAAATCTTCATAATAATCAATTCAATCCAAATTTATTGAAAAAGCCATTAGCGCCCAAAGCCAAACCCAAGCCCAAACCAAAACGGAAAGGCTGTCGCTGTGGCAATGCAACTCCTTCTCCTGGAAAACTCACTTGTTGTGGTCAGAGATGCCCTTGTTATGTTGAAGCAAAAGCATGCATTGAATGTCGTTGTAAAGGATGTAGAAATCCTCACAGACCTGGAGGAAAGAAAGTACGTCCTGTAATCCCTCACCAGGCCAACATTCGTATCCATCAAATAAAGCCAGTTACTCTCCAACCTGCTGTGAACAATTGTCATGGTAATTCTTTAAGTCCAGTGATAGGAATCCCTATCAGCGTCTCCAATCAATTTTCCCAGCAAGGAAGTGCAAATCACATGTCTGGTGCAGCTAACAATTATGTTGCACCTTCAGTATCTTCCTCTTCCTCAACAATCCGTACTCTACAAGCTATTCATGCTGTTAAAGCTGTTCAAGGAATCACTTCTGTTCCAAAAATGGTTTCTGGTGGTCAGATTTTCAATCTGAAAGATTCTATTGCTGAAAATTCATTAGCTGTTAACATCTCCCAAAAGTCTATAGTGCCTACATCTAATATGGTGTCTGTCAAAGCAATGAAGTTTCAGTTTGATACTCCAAATAATCCTTTACTAAACTTGGATAATTTCCCTCATTCAATTGAGACAGACAATAGTGATGTGGAAATAGATTCATGAAGGATTATATGTACCTTGTGTGACCTCACAATATGGTGGCATATTACTCAAAATAAATTTCAACCACCTCATTAGCCTGCTATATTTTCATATAGGTTTCATTCTAGTTACTGACCATTGCAATGATCATCAAATTATTGGATTAGCATAAAGTTGCATTTCTTTCATTTGAAGCTCTACTCTGTCATCTTGGATCATTGTATCTACAGTTATAGAATGTAATGAAAATTTATATTTCGAGATTTTACTATATTGGTGCATTTCATTTATACATTCCTTCTAAATATTCTCGTGATCTAATTTTTATAAGTGCAGTACAGATATTGTCTATAGATTCCATTTGGCTCTGCATTAATGTTATTCACAATATTATTCCAATCTGCCTCAACATGCATGTTGTGCAACATTAGTAGATGTCTTCCTATTATTACCGTCACATAGCTGAAGTATTCTCAGTTTAAAAGAATGGCTTTTGGTGGCATTGATTAAAATTTCTAATGGTTGGCATTCTTTAAATATGTGTTAATCTTTGTGAATTTACTTATACTGCCAGTTCTCTAACAACTGTTTGACTTTTGAAACGATTTTTATCGCAATTTTGTATTCCTTAGATGTCTTTTTGTGGATGAGATGTATGTATGCATCACATTAGACAGAATGAAAATATGCAGACATTAGGAAGAATATGAAAACATAAACTGGTGAAATTGTCTGTGTTTTCATGAGTATCTTTTAAATTTGTTCATATTTCATTATGAAGATTTTTATTCAAATTTCTCTCATAATGATCCAGATATATGTTTAACATCTTGAATGTTCTGATTTTTCTTATTTAGTGTATAATTTTTATCATTATTTAAATGTTCAATAGTCTTGTAATAGGAAAGTCATGCTAAGGCTTATTCAACCCATGATTGGCTATTTTTTTGTACTATTTCAATCTTGGCTTTCATTCAATATTTTATTTCTCAGGTAGATAACAATATTTCTCATGACTTGTTGTATTAATCAAATTAATTTAAAATTTGCTAATGCACATCCAAGGCTAAGTCTTTGTTTTGCTCTGGTGGACAATCCTCAGATGCCTTTGTAGGCCCTCAGCATGACATATTTGCTTATTATGAAGCATAATTTGCTCTACCTCCAAAAACCATGCATGGTATTGTCATAATTTGCTGAGAATTATTGTATCCTTCCAATATTTTGGAACTTCTGTTAGAGAACTTGTGTTGTACCAACCGAGTTAGTTTTAAGTTTGATGGAGTCAAGAATTTCTAGTCGTCGTTCATACAACACTCCTTTTCTTGTAGCTTAATGACTCTGTGTACTTCAGACTTGCTATTATTTCTTCCAAGAAGAACTTTTAAGTATATTAGTGGCTATGGTGATGTTAGTAATTTTGATGTGGAAAGAAACTGCAATGTAATTCAGCACATACAAGTCTAGTTACTATATAGGTACTGTGGATGACTCTGCTGCTGCTCTGACTCTCAAAGCTTATCTGATTTATCTTGTATTTATTTCAAAAAGCTTTCATCTAATTAGGATTTATTTGAGAACGCATAAATTTGGATTTCTGAAATAGCTGAACCAACCATATACATTTTACTCCAGGGTTTACTTTCCTCAAGGACCGATCTGTGAAGTTACAATATAACGTAACTTACTACCGACTTGAGGTTTGGCTGCTATTGCTCAAAGAAATTTCGTTCGCTAGCTTGTTTCATTTTTTATTCTGACCAATTGATCCCATTTTCGAGTCGGTATTCTTTCGTGAATTTGAGCCGTTTAGTTCCACAATATGCTTTACGTCAGCTTGAATTATTTTTTGGTCTAATGCTCCAAGATGATGCAATTCATCACATTAGAAGTAGAATTCCGTTAAATTCGTAACTGTTTAATTTTCGATCGTGTTGTCACTTTTCTTAATGCCAGTTCTTTATATCCATCTATGTATCAATGATATTTATCGTGAAACTGAGCAAATTATTAGCCAATGAAAATGATATCTACTAGAAATCGATCTACCTAGCTATTTCTATCAAATTAGAAGTTTGTCTAAACCACTAGCGATCGTTTAAAATGTTATTCTTCTATACTCCTGTGGAGGTTTTCGAACGACTTGAGCTTGACTTATTGTTCCAAAGAGAAACAATACACAAACGTGTAGCGAACAATGATTATTCAAGTGTTAGGTGGGGATTGCAGAGCAACATGTTGTGTACAAACACGTTTAGGGAGCAGTGAAGTAGCGTTCAGTATTTTTACACGTGTACAGCATGACAGTCGAGGCTGCTAAGCTAGGTTGTGATATTTTTTTATTAAAACTATTGCGTAATACTTTACTTGTGTGTAAGTTTGTAGAATTTTGTATAGACAATTGAATTTGTATGTATAGCATGTACTGTCCATATCGTTCGTTAAGTCACCATATTGCCATTAAATATATTTATTTCTTTCAATCCAAATCATTTACCTGAATTTTGCTCGCAATGTGAGCATAATACCGGGAGCTGTGGTGGTGTAGTGGTGAGAGACTGTCTCTCGCACCCAGCGCCCGGGTTCGAGTCCCACTGAGGACAAGTTCTACCGGGAAGCTCAGCTCATGGTCAATTCAGCCATTCATCCAACTCTGGTTGATGAATGAGTACCTGGCTTGTTCAGGGTGTTGTGTAATGCAATCAAATGGTACTGGCGGGTCAGCGAGCCAGTGATGGCCGTAGAACTACCAGTGGTACCAAGTGCCCAGATAAACTGACCTATCACCCCCCTCCCTAGTCGCCACTACCAGGATGGGCAATTACAACAACAGCATAATACCGGGGAGTGCTTTGAATAACGTTGCAACTGCATCAGTATTGAAGAAAACATTTTTATGTATACATCACAGGTTTTCTAGTAGAGCGCCGGTATATCCATAAAGTAATTGAAAACATATTGAATATGCCTAGATCATCTTTGTGTCTACAGTGCTTTTTAACCTCGGGTGCGTCTTCTTTAAACAGGAAACTTATAGGTAGACTTTTTCAGTTACGCGTCGACGTAACTTGACAAATTCTATGAATTGTTTCCTGCTGAAATCGATAGAATTGAAGACTTAAATATTCTTCAAATATAGATTTCTACACCCGGAAATGACAAAATTCATATTGTTATATTTCTAATCGTGTTTCCCGTAAGAGAAGCGTTTAGGATGTGACGACGCTGAGGAGACCAGACGTGACGGCAGCACGGGAGCGACATTGACGACGCGAGTTGCATGTTGACGAGGGGCGCCGCCGTGAGCGCTGCTGCTCTGTGATAGATGATAAGCAGCTTCCGAGATAATTATTGGTTTACACAGGTTATTTGAAGAGGGGAACAAATAGGTCCCAACTGAGGTGATTAGGATTAAATTTATAATTAAAAACATCGCGCTTACAGCTCGTAGATGCTAAAATGAGGTTCACGCAGTCTAAACTTCTAACACCACTTCGGCAAACTTAGTCTCTGCAAATTCTGACTATTAATTGACCACGTCTGAAATTTGAACAATGATCTTGACAGAAAAGCTTTAAACAAAATTATACCTCCGAAAATAATGGTAGGAAAACTGGTTTATATTAGGAAATGTTTCACTATTTCCAACACTCACACTTCGGGTTGCGTAATTTAACCTCCCGCCCTCACATAATCTTATTAGCCGAACAACTTTTACAAGAATTTTAGAAGATATTAAATATTAACTTGGTCAAAATAAGGACACGTCATGTGTATCGTCTTGATGATCTCGGTACAAAACAAGTTCTGAATGAAATTAAAATAAGATATTTATATTCATAGATTTGAAACAAATTCTATTTCTTCAAATGATCTATTTTCGATATGAATAATAAAATTTTAACAAAATTCTTTAATCAAATGCGTATAGTGAGCTAACTTCAACCTATTATACTTGAATGATCCAAGATTCGATATCAATCATGTACATCAATCATGTACTTCAAGCATCTCTGCAGGCAGGACTGTCTGAGCTACTTACATTCTCATGAAGATAACTAAGAAACATAGCAAGTAGCAGTAGCATGGTAGTTTGCTAGCGCTTCAGCTAACAAGCAATTTCGCATCGGAGGTCAAAAATAAACATCGCCAGCAAGGCGGAACGTCTCAATTATTTAAAATATCTTGAATTAATTGTCACCGACGTGAGGCAGGACTCAAGGGGCCTGGCCGTTGAGGCTGGCAGGAAAGCAGCAGCGTTAGCATCTCAGAGACGAAGTGACAAGGAGGGACAGTTGAACAGCAATAGAAACTAAAAAACATTCGTACAAGGTCGCTTACACGAAACGTCGGCCGCCCGCACGAGAGAGACAGGCAAGCAATCCTGCCTACAGGAAAACCAAGACCCGAGCCCAGTGGTGGGGCGCTCGGGAAAAACGCCCAATAAGACCGCGAGATTCCATAAGAGTTCTGACGAGCGCAGTAACACGTTGAAAAAGCATACAAGTTATCACTTCAATAAGCTTTAAACTCTGGTATGTATTCGTGTAGAATACCTTCTCTCTTGAAATAAAATAAAAACGTTAATGAAAATTTAAATTAGACATACTAAGACAATTTGGCTAAAACTCAGTCAGAACGAAGACATAAACCAATGCAAGAAATCATCAGTTGAATTTTTCTTAACACATTTTTCTAACTTTAGTAGAGAAAGGCTCAATTCGTCGACTAGATGAGCAACCGTGCAATAAAAAATGGGTCTGGATAATTACTCACAAACAAATTTCACGTACTAAATTAATTTAAAAACTCCCAAGGTGAACCCAGATTGAGTAAAACATCATCTGATCAAACTGGAGTCAACATATGGACAAATGAATTAGCTGTAGGCTAAAATCTTTTGATTATTCAGAATTTAATCAATGTTGCTGAAACGGGCATTCTACTGTGAAGATTGCCTAGAATAGAAAAACTTGGACTTGTAATGCAATAGTTACTACTATTGAAAGGAAGATCCTATTAATATGTACAGTCACTATATACAAATATCTCAAAATCCTATTGAAGGCCGGTAATCTAACAATCTGTAAGAAATTACCGACAAGAATTTCACTGAAGATTTAAGCCATCTAAACCAAATGCGTACAATGGAGACGACCAAATTTTTTCGGAGCTCTGCATTAAAGCAACATTTAGTACTCGAAATACATTCACGTCATTTTAGGATTATCAACACAACGCACGCAGGAAAAATGATACAAATTTAAATTAAGGTCCTTCATATCAATTATTTATCTGACACGCTTATGAAGATTTAAACTCGAACAAAACTACCGTAAATTGCAGGACTTTCACACCAAAGTGTCAAAACTCTTCCTTTATCATGACACTATTTCATCGGAATACTTTGACGAGTGGGATCATTCAAAATTCAGCAAAGAAGTTGAAATTTCGGTTGATATCTTTCAAGATTTCTCTCATCTAAGAAATATAAGATTTATACAAGATAAAACCTGCTGTAGCGGTCATCACGTTAATCAGCAGTTATCGGCGTCACTATTTTACTTTGCTTCACTTCATTCAAGTTAGCACAACCATTGGCCGCCGCCAGTGCCTTGCCATTGCTGGATTTAACTGAAGTGTCTGGTAGAGCGAGGCTGTGGTTCTTGCCGACGCTCAAGTCTGAGGCTTTGTTGCCGGGCTTGCCGGCGCTGGTGAGCTTTGGCGCCACCCACTTGAGCTTGGCGCCTGTAGGCACGTCTGGGTGGGCGAACTGGCAGCCAGGCGTCAGGCACGAGCTGCCGAACTTGCAGGGCTGCAAACAATTCATCGAATGATATCATAAAATAATTTTTACTGTGAGGTTTTAGTGATCATCCTTAAGAGTTCATATAGGAAAAAATAATGCAATATGACCACAATTGAATTTTTTCAACATGTTCACTCGAGGTCAAATGATAGCACAAGTCGATAAGTAACTAAGGAACGAATACCAATGAAAAAATTCAAGAATGTTTGCCAGGTTCCCATTGAAAACGTTTCAGAGAAAAGCTGCTTCATTACCTACGAATGCACGCATAACAAATAAGTACAACTTAATTTAGGTAGAGAGATAGAAGCTAAAATTTTCAAAACACTTCTGGACTCTTGGACGTGGCACTGATCAGCTTGAAAGCACTCAGCTAAATGACTGTGAATGTTTCCAGTACATAACTCATGTCATCATAAATTATGTCTTAAGTTATGCAATCATAAGTTATACCCTCGGCCCAATTGATTTGAAAGTTGCGAGACGTTATTCCGACAGGCGCCGATGAAAAATGTCTGAGCAACAGAGAGGATCACATATGAACAAGAAGAGTACGTATCCTTATAAAAAGAATGCACACATTTTAAATCATCGACCAATATCACAGGAAGGTTAAGATTCGAGAAATATTTTATCAAATAACTATTTGAAATTATTTTCAGAATCGGGTCCAAGGTAGGGTGCAGAGCAATACTTCTTCGTACTATCAACCTCAGTATCGACTAAAGACTCCTTCTGGGATAGAAATTCCTTATTTCTAGTGAACACAAAGTTTACGAAATAGCCCTCACTCAAAGAAAAATTATTGCATGAAAAATCAGATTTAGAACGGATGAAGTATTGAAGCTATACGAAAACTGCACTGCATTGATGGTTAAATCCCATCCAATTTGAAACGAGATGAACGAAGGTGAAGGATTCGCGTGTAGTGTTTTCTCCAAACGGGTTTTCACAAAACCATATGTTCACTTAAATTGAAGAAGTTTAAGTCAAAGCGATATTCTGAAGTTATTCCCGATGTTGATAGTGAGAAACATATTTATTGCTAATTACCATACTCACGCCTTCATTCTGTAATACTGTCTAAAGAATAATACAAGTTCATTTCTGAAATATTTTTCAAATGTAAACCTGCTTGTATTATTTGGTCATTGACTTTCAAATTGATTCTTCCCATAAGTAAAAGTAACTCTATTTGTGCGCATGCGCTCTTCTCTGGCATATGCATATATACATTGGCGCGCATCAGTGTACGCAGGCCCGACGTCCTGCTACTTCATGAGATGCGCAGAGCACAAAGCCGCCTCAAAACTTACTTCTGAAGCCACGTAATCCAGCTGTGCGCATTCACGCCAAAAATGCCACCTAACGATGTCTGAAATTTATCAACTAGTACCTCAGATGCTTTGCATATACAGATCTTGGAGTCCCTATATTTAAAAGCAATTGTTGGAATAACGCCTAAAGTTCTCACCCATTTCGTCTGCTTCGTCTGCTTGATCGTCTCCTTGATATGTCTTTAATTGTATTTTTTTAATATTTAATCGTAAATTCAGTAGTATAAATTATTCTATTACTCTCGAATATTAAACTGGCATCGTCGGGTGGCATTAATTTTCAAGTGATTGGTACTAGAGCCGGTCTCTGGAACGTATTTATTGAAAATTAATTGAATTTTCTCAGCCTTTTTTCCATTAAACTCCATTGTTAAATTAAGAGAAATAATTGTAATAAAGAGCGAGCTTCGGGTTGCGCTACGCCTTCAATGCACAAAAGTTCACACGAAAATTTGAAACCAAAATTGAAAAGATAATTCAAACTTTACTCATATTAACCTTTTAAGTTCAGCATGCCTCCTCTTGGACACTTTACTAGTCACAGTATCGTTCTGATTTGGTCATAATCTCTCGGGAAAAAATAGAAAGAAGATTCTGACCTTGGGATGCTGGAAAGGACAGGCAGGGTTGGCGCATTTAAGGCCGAAGTGACATCTCTTGAGGGTGACAGCGGACGACGGTCTGCCCACTGCAGTGTTGAGGCTCAGCTTACTCTTGGCTGCAAGCAAATATATAAGTGTAATGACGACCCACACTTCGCAACGCGGACGTACATAAAAATGTTGATAATATACTCATGGTAGTGGAACTGAATGCTAAAATAACTACTTTCATAATCAAGAGCCTACGAGTGTATTAACAATATACTTTGATAGAATTAATAAATCAATACAATTATTGAGAATAGTGTAACCACTGAGGGAATAATAAGTTGTCATTTTGTGAATAATATGTCATTAATAATAATGTCATAACATGTTATTAATAATAATAATAAGGCATACAACCAGCACCTGGTATCTGAACGCCCAGGGAGCGCGGGCTGGCATGAGTGAAGGGGCAGTCGGGGCGGCTGCAGAGCGCATCAAACTTGCAGTTGGGGTGAATGTACAAGCACTTGTCGCCAAACTGACAGTTCGGGAACATTCTGAAACAGGCACATGATAGTGATCACACATATGAGTGGTTGGGTTATTAACATGCTTGTATTCTCTAGCGGACAGTTAGATAACTTGACTGTTGGTTGGAGGGCGGAGTGTGGCTCACTCAACTTTTGGCTTGACTCACTTGCAGGGCGTGACTCACTAAACTGTTGGCTTGACTCACTTGCAGGGCGTGACTCACCCAACTGTTGGCTTGACTCACTTGCAGGGCACGGTGGGGTGCTGGTACTGACACTTGTCCCCCAGGCGGCAGGCCGGCCAGTACATGCAGCGCGTTGAGTACTTCGCTTCGCCTGCAGAACAAAAATAAAATAATTTGTTCCTAAAATTGTTTAGTAAAGATAGCCTTAAAATGACAATGAGCAGCAGTGATTTTCGTAAATATTGCTTACTTGTGGCATAGCAAACATGGTACTAACACCTCCAATAGCACCTCTTCCCTCGGGTTAAGACGATAATCTGTCATGCCATACCAGGAGATCATCATTTCATTAAGTTGACAGTAAATCGTAAGGAGGCATGAAATCCTCACAATTTTACTATACCTCAAATCATAATACCTCTGCCATAACGTTTCCGAGAATTTAGCATCATTAATAAAGCTGGCACTGATGCTTTTGATCAAATATGTAGTCAATACCTACAAATAGGTATAGTCAATACCTAAACTTATTAGAGTAGAAAATATTCTTCAAGCTGAACGAATAAAAAAGCTATGAAAAAGGGAAAGATTCAAGTCTGCAGTATTAAACCCGTGTTAACACGTTGACTCCTAAGTGACACATATGCGAATTGTATTTCTCCAGGACGTAGTGGTACATAATTCAAGGTGGCCAGATGGAGTCCCAAACAGAAAAGGCATAAATGGCCTATAACTCAATATATACTGGTATATTTGTAGGTTCCTGGGTAAATATTCCATTTCTACTTTTTTGGCAGTTTTTAAAATTTAATCAGGAAGTACTCCTATCATAAATTTTAGCCTGCCAACGCAATTTAAAAGAAACTAAATTGCAGAATTTGTACGGGAAAAAAAGACCGTCTGGCAGCCGTTTCAATACAGTACAAAATGAAATAATAGTACAAGATGAAGCAATCGGAGTGAACGTGTTAAGGAGGTACAACTAACATGTATGAGCAAGAGAGGTGATGATGACTCACTGTGCAGGTTCTGCTGCTTGACGATCTCGTCCAGGGGCAGCATGCGGGGGTCGACGACGTGCGTGGCAGCCGCCGTCAGGTCCACGGACGGCGCACGACCGATGCTCTCCACCTCCTCCTCCCACTCTTCTACCTCTTCTATGTATTCCTGAAATGAATAAGACCAAACCAAACCATTAACTGATATTACCTGGAGACGTTTTCTTATAAACGAATACTGAGAAAAAAGGAGAAACGAAAACGGTATTATGAATATATGCAGAATGATTTAAGACCGTAGATACGTAATTACTTCAACTTCCTCCATGTTGGTATCAGCGATCTGGTTAGTGACGAGAAGCGACGGACGAGGCAGGATCCGAGTCCTGACGTCGTCCTCGTCGTCGATGACGTCGGCCACGAGGTAGCGCCCCCCGCGGGACGAGGACACGCGACCAGGGCTGTCCAGGCGCCTGGTGCCACAAAGTGCGGGGCTTTAAATCTATACTTAAGATACGAGCACACATTTGGCATTGCTGAATTGCGGTATTTCACTTCATCCCATTCAAGTTTCCTCATTGAGAAATCAATTTTAAACGTTGAGAAACCAATTGACCAAGAAACCATTGAGAAACCAATTCTAAATTAAAGTAGCGCTTCTTATTCCGACTTTTCCTAAGTGGTCGTTATTTTCGAGTTGATATAATTACATATAACTCTCCACATTATTCTTAAAGCAACATAGTCGCAAGGAAATGTTTCGAAAATTCAGACGCATCTTGATTGCTGATATATGAAGCAAACATTAATTGATATCTAGTGAAGACATAAAAAAGGCTCCTTAAAGATGAATAAGTTCACTCACCGTTTGATGGAGCTGGAGGGGTGAGTGCCGCGGGACAGCCGCGCTAGAGCCGAAGGCTTCCTCACGTCATCGTCGCTCGTGGAGTCTGCCACTCCTGAGGGCGGCAAGACAATGGCACAATAAGTCCATAAGTGTGCAGGCAGCAGTCCACAAGAAATTCACAGCACAAGCCAGTTTCAAGTGTGAGGTGACGAAGACAGGAGCCAAGTCCATTTAACTTTCTTACTATAATATTAGTTCACTAAACAAGAATTAAAAAAAATAAATAAATTTCACTTATATTCAGTATATTTATTTTTATAGATAATGTTTCAAAAACCAGCTCCACTGTAAGCTTCAAAAGATCAAGAATGCAAGTGCATTCAAATGAACGACCAAATATACACAGAAGAACAGTTTACACAGTTCATTGATTTGCAAGCGATCAAAAATAAATTCAAATGCAGGGATCTTAGATTATTTGATCTGCAAAGGTGAGATATGCTAGAAGATCTTACTAAAATCCAAATCCCATTTTTAAAAACTGATAAGGTAATAAACTACTCCAACCAATACAATAATCTGTAGCTATAAACACTTTCATGCAGACGTGAAAGTATTGCCACATGATTATAATTGCAGATCGAATGCTTTTCTAGTAAAATATCACGCACTACTGATCTTAAAAAGATCAAAATTTTCATCCCCAATTTCAGTCAGCACTGTCCAAATAATTGCAAGACACTCGATATAAAGTTATTATCCCTAAGACGGCTGGGCTATATTAAAGTAATTAAAGTGAAGCAATGAACTGACCATCAGCGAGAGCAGAGCGCGGCGGGTTTGCTACGGTGATGGAGAGCTTCTGTATTTTGGCCTCCTTGAGAGGAGCTGAGCCCGTGGTGCTGGTGAGACGGCCTTCCTCGCGCTCCCGGTAACTGCGGCTGAACACCTCCAGCTGATGGACGGACGGGTTAGGTAGTGGTACTACAGCACAGTTATGATCATGAGGACACTTTCTATCATGATCACATTAAAATGAGAATAATGAGCATTATATTCAGAATAATTAATAATAGATGTATAATAAGAATGGTGAACATTTCTTTCAGAACATGAATAGTGAACATTAGATTACATGAATCAATAACGAAAAACTGATGACGAATGTATGAAGTGAAAAAAATAACAATATGAGAAAGCCATAACTAGGTTATAAAGTTTATAATGAGCTTTGCCTTGATCGATTTACCAACACCAAAAAAATTCAAGTTTAGCCCTCTGGGGAACTTGGTCTGCTAGAGGCGACACCGAAGCCACTAGTAAGTCACAAATTATTTCTGGAAAAATTTGGTGGGTCTCGAAAACCAAAAGAAAAAATCATCAATGCAAAGCTCAGGATTGGGAGTTAAAAGTGATGAAGAAACTACACCATTCATACATAGTCAATATTCGGTCAGAATGATGAGTTAGAACCGAAAATGAAATACAAAGCATGGAATGTCGAGTACTTCAACTTTAGATATGATTGAAACACATTGGCATGACGTGGGTAGTTCAAAACTATAACGGTAAATACTGACAACTTAGAATTTACTTTATTGTACCTACCATTATATAATATCGAATAATAGAATATAACATAATATTAAATAATATAGTAAAATACCTATATTATTAAATAATATAGTATAATAAAATAAAATGTAATATTGGCTCTACTGTAATTCTCTTCATCCAAATGTTAACAAGCCGGCAAACTGATACGAACAAATTACAATGCCAGGGCTCGTACCATTGGTTTCTTGGCTGGTCTGCTTGAGGACTTGTGCTGAGGTGGTTCATCGAGCTGAGAGCTGGTGCGCTTAGCAGACGTCACGGAGCGGTGAGCGTCAGCCACGGCGCGCAGGATGAGCGACGTGTTGGGGGCGCGTGTACTGCTGCCTCGGGACGAGCCTGCGCGACGATCTCTCCCTGTCACCTGACAACCAAATATATTGTATTAAAAACTATATTTAACTCTATATTAAAAACTATTTAACCTCTTCATTATATTAAACTGTTCACTATATTAAAAATTTTTCACCACAGAAAAAAGTGTTCACTGTATTGAAAACTGTTCACTATATTAAAAATTGTTCACTGTACTAGAAACTTTTCACTATATTAAATACTTTTCACTTTATCATAAATTGTTCATTACCTTAAAAATTGTTCCCTGTATTAAATATCCATGTTATTGCAGAGCTCATCCTGAGATATTCATTCATAAAAACAAATAGGCTACATTAATCAATTATTCATGCTCATATCCTCCTCTTTCCTACTGGTGTTTTATATCGCTATATAAACAGCAAGCTAATGACAATGAAGGAAACTGGCAATGAAGGAAACTATCTATGAATGAAGAAAACAATCAATTGATTAAATGCTTAGAAAAAAACATAAAAAACAACCTCGACTTTGCTTTGAAGAGCCGAAGATGAGACTGATGAATCTTCCGTCTCCGAGTCCGTCTCATTCGTACTCTAAAAAAGACAGAATTTGCATGAAGAATCAAATGAGATAAATATATATATTATTTGCTCAGTAGACACTGAAGACATTGCTCTTCATGATATGAAGAAGCTCAAAACAATGGAGCGGAAAAAATAAGAAGGAATAATGACCAATATTATCACTCCCCCAACGAGCTCGGTAAATGTTATTCAACATTTTCTGACATTGTGTTGCCAGATTGTTTCAACCATAACATGTTCATACGGCATAAACTCTACTCAATTTGAGGCCTATAAGTGGCTAGTCTGAACATGGCGATGCCTGGAAAACATTAAATGTTGTTGAATAGTCATTATTATGGCAACCATGCCATAGAGCCTTAATATGGGCTTATTTGCCTAATTATATGACCAGCCTCTGTTTCTTACTCCACTCAGAACAAAACAAAATTTTTCATTGTCTTGCCACAGAAACCTGTATACCATTGATCCGACTGTTGTACGTCTGATAAAGTAATGAAAAGGAAGCAATTGCCCTGAAATGTGCTCACCTTCTCCTTGCGCTGGCGACGCACAGCTGATGACACTGCTGGCTTTGAAGGCAGGTCAGTAGAGCGGCTTGACTTCTCCACAACTGACATCGGGCGTACACGTGCCTGAGAATTGCTTCAAATTTTACATGATGTTTCACTGAGGGTTGGTTTATACATTTGTGCTCTCATATATATTCCCCATACAATACAAAAGAATTTACTTTCTGTGTGCCTGATCTTCATCATAAAATTTTTTAGCCAGGTTTTGATTTAAATGGCCGCCTGGTAGATCTGAACACTGAACAGATATAACTATTGGTGAGGAAAAAAAATTCTAGGAGGTTAGTAGGTGTAGCTCGATGTAGTATATAAGATAAATAATGATATTAAGTTATCACAATTATTATTTATTTGATACCTAATTTTTTGTGGGTGGGTGTGGTCTCTGAGCTAGTGAAGCAAAACACATTCTACGATCTACCACGATACAACAATTTCTTGCCTCCAGTTTCTTGCCGGGAGTGGGTGCAGCTACCGCCTTGGATGACGAGTTGCGTTTGTCAGACGAGGAGTGGCGGGGCGGGAAGCTTGACTCCTCCAGGAGATTAACAACGCGCCGCTTGGAAGACTTGGAGGACAGCTCGTCGGCCGAGTGGCGACCCTCGTGGTCATCTGAGGCTGATACTTGGTCGGGCTCAGGGCTGCTGCACGAGTTCTGAGCGCTACGCGGCGGTCCAAGGCGGTCCAGTACTGATACAGGCTGTCAGCAAAATTTTTGTATTTAGACATAATTGATTCAGAAAGATAAGACAATAACCTCTTGTTAAACCTAGCAATAATTATTTCCTTTCAAGTAACCTATTTTGGTATACCAACTCTTATTAATAGGTTAAAAGTAACTGTGGTTAAAAACTCATTATACACATTTAATTTTGCGCACTTCAAAAACATCCACCTAAAATTGGTATAGCTACTCAGCATTACCCCAGGCAAAAATGAAAGAAAACCCGAAATAATGATTTCATAAATACAGCCATACACTCACTTTCTGCTTGTGTTGTGATGAAGGATGGCGAGAACTTTTATGCGCTTTCTTAGCTTCGCGCGACCGTGCGTGTTCAGCTTCCTGATCTTGCTGATGTTCTTCATCGTCCTGTAGTTCTTGTTCGAGCTCAGTCTCTGTTGACATCACATGAAAAAGCAAGGTTAAACATGTTTAGAATCATTAATGTAACATTGTTAACTCGATTAACGTGAGGCTTAGGAGTATAAGTAATGACCACAACCATTGAAAAGCAATTGATTTTCGTTTTAAACGGTATTTCTCTGGGAACTTGACAATGAGTCACGTTATAGAACCAGGAACAGTTTGGAAGGAATCCGTCAATATTGTACAAAAACAAGCTATTTAGAAATGAGAGATCGGCACATGAGATTGATAAGGTTGTACAATTATTATAAATAATGAGGAGATATAGTAAGTACTGATCATTGCATGTAATTTGAACATCACAAAAAACACAGTGGGGCAGCACAAATTTTTATTATTGCATTTAAGAATTCAAATATATAGAAGTCTTGCAGAAATAAATTGAGTAATGCATATCGAAATAAAACATACCTTGGGTCTTAAGATCAACAATATCGTCTGTAAGTTCTTCATTGTCATGAGCCACACTCTCAGGAGACTGGTCTACCTCTGCTTCTTGTGTGTCATCCCCTACTTCTTCTTCACTACTTCCTCTGTTCCCAGCAGCTTCAGCAACAGTAGCAGATTTGTCTTCGTCATCTGAAGAGATAACTATTTTTGCTGCTTTATGCGAGTGCTTTGCAGCTTTTTTCTCTGATCCACTCTCGACTTTTTCCTTTACATGAGTCTTGGCAGCAGGTGGCCTGGTGTCAGTTTCAGCACCTAACTCTAGGTCCTTGCTTGGCTTGTGGTGCTCATTACGTATAGTTTTTGTAATTGTGAGAGTCTTGTTCTTACCCACAGCCTCCACAACAGAGCGTTTAGGTCCTGGAGACCCTGATTCAGCTTCGCTCCCTTGGCTTGAACTTCTCTTCCGCTTCACAGCAGGCTCATGGCTAGGTTTAACTTCTATACATTTCCTAGTTTCAATAATGGAGGTGACCTTCTCAGGTTCACTAATGGGAACTGAAGTTTTGTTCTCCTTAATGGCCAATTCTTGAGCTTCTAAATTTTTCCTTTTTGCTTCTTTTGCTGCTCTTTTAAGTTTCTTCTCTAGATCTTTTTTTTCCTTTTTCTTTTTCTTCCTTTCCTTCTTTTCAAGTTTTCTCTCTTCAGTTTTCTTCCTATCTTCACGCTCTTTTGTTGTAATTGTGTTCAGATTATCTGAGGATTTGAGTTTAACTCCAATTTTCTTAGAATCTTGAGTAGCAGAACTTACACTTTGATCTTCTTTAGGTTTTGCCGACACTTTTTCTGCACAAATAGCATTTTCAAATGTCAAATCAATTAGTAATCAATGTGCGTTCTTATTAGCAGTTAAAAAAAAATTTAAAAATGTACTCACATATAAAGAATTATAAAACCTAACAGCCAAACAGGCATCAGAAAATTTCACTCATGAAAATTATGACTTTTTCAAGACAATGGAGCAAGTAATTCTGTTGGAATTAAAATGTGAGATGGTCTCAAATGTTAGTTTTAGTCAATTGGAGTCCTTTTATTCATACCCATACTTTAAAGAAATGAACACTTCGTCTCCAAACACACATGAAAGTTACTCTTCTTAACTGAGACAGGCCACATACAATACTGTTGTATAGTTATAATTCAGAAAATCGATTACCACAAGATAAATCAAGATAGGAAGATGATTTACACTGACAAGCAAGTGACCAAGAAGACAAATGGAAATGAACAAACAATATTTAAACTGGATAAGGGCAAGAGAAATAAATTAATTAGGGCTACTGCAGAATACAGTATAAATGCTGCAGCAATAAGAGGGCACCCACCCCCAACAGCAGATGTAGCAGCAGCAGATGATGTGATAGCCCCAGCAGATTCAAGTCTCTCCAGTACACTTGCAAGCCATGACGTGAAATGTTCAGTATTGTGGCCGAGGAAGAGACTCAAGTCATTGTCCATCTGCTCCTTTGACTTCTTGTTGACAACAAGCACCATGATGTAGTCTGGTAGTTCGTCATCTGAAGTGCATTGTACATAATAATTAGTTTTGTGGCACAATAAGATAATTAGAGATTGGGTAAGTTAAATAAAAGCCTCCCCATTTCAAGTTTAATTATTAAAGCACCTAACAACTAACCAGTTTACTCACCAGCAAAAGCTGTAGTAATACCTACATTACAAACACCTAAATCAAAGCAAGTTCTTTAATGTTTATCATGTATATTTATACTGTATAACTTTATATGCAATAGGCATATATTATAGGCTGACTGTCACTGCTTGAATGACAATAAATATGAATTATATTTTGCTACAAGCTCTCAATATTGCTGTGTTCTATAGAATTTTCTTATAAAAATAAACTTCCTAAAATAGATATTTAGCAAAAAAATAGTCCCACAAGACACAAGAAAGTCCCATCAACAAATAACAACTGAGATGACAATATATTGCAGAATATGACTCACCAACATAAGTGCCAAGCTCCACCAATTTGGCCTTGATGGCACTCTGCAAAAAGGAAGGGGATTGTAAAATATTTTACCACTACTTGGAAATAAGCCTGCTACTAGAATGAAACCTAAAACAAAGGCTAATATAGAATAATGATTCCCTTTATACTAATTATCTAGTGAACTGGAAACTTCAAGAGATTTTATCATGATTTTTCATGGTCCTTAAGGGGCCTTCATCTCCTGACACACCTGACATGGAATGACTTATCTATCGTAAACAGGAAGATAGTTTAGCATTGACTACTCCAAAAGTTCAACCAGTGCACTGAATATTGAAATACTAGTTAGTTAGCAAATACTGTGTGGATCTTTGCATGTTAAAAATAACTTTCTAGTGCATTTTTAGCTTTTGATGTATAAATATCAAACAATATAATCTTCCATGTAAAATTAATTTTTGGCTATAAACCCTCATAGCTCCTAAAATTTAATTTTGTCATATAAATATTTACCCATCTAAATATCAATTGTTTGGACCAAGACTGATAGCTCATTTTATAATCTGGATTACTTGCATTTTATACTCACCCGTATTTTCAAGCTGACATGTGAATTAATATCATCCATTATGAACAATTTAATTATTGTGAACTTCAAGAACCAATTTCTGGAAAAAAATGTAAAAAATTGTTTAAAAATATTTGCCAAGTCAATACATTGAAGAATGTCAATGTCAAGACAACAAGCCAGTCTCTGATAGAAAAGCTTACCGTCAACCAGGGCTACTCGGGACAGATTTGAACGATTAGTTTTAAATAACAGTTAATAACTTCTTACGATGAAACATTTCATAAACAAGTTTAGTCTCATTTTATAGCTGATTGGCAGGGCTATCGAATGGCGTTGTCAAAAAAATTCCATATGCTATTCGTAAGGTGCCAGACGCATTTATTGATATGATATTGCCATATACATTAATTACCGTATTATTGATGTGACATTATCATATTATTGATGTGATATTACCGTATCCATGAACATGCCATTGAGCATTTACAACAACCTTGTCCATTGCAAGCTTCATATCAGCAGCCTTATAACATTTTTTTCGTATCTGTAAGCTTACAGGAAGGCTCGTAATTTCACATCATTTTAATTGGGACTTCCCGTGATCATTAACTTCACGTGGTCATTAACTTCACGTGATCATTAACTTCGCGCGGTCACTAACTTCGCGTGATCATTAACTTTGCGTGATCATTAACTTTGTGTGATCATTAACTTCGCGTGATCATTAACGTCGCGTGATCATTAACGTCGCGTGATCATTAACTTCGCGTGATCATTAACTTCCCGTGATCATTAACTTAGCGTGATCATTACCTTCACGTGATCATTAACTTCACATGATCATTAACTTCACGTGATCATTAACTTCCCGTGATCATTAACTTCACGTGGTCATTAACTTCCCGTGATCATTAACTTCATGTGGTATTTAACTTCGCGTGATCATTAACTTCGCGTGATCATTAACTTCCTGAAAGGAATGTTTTAGTGACAACCAGACTATCTTTTGGAGAAATAAATCATAGTTTAGGTCAATTAATTTTCATTCTATAATGCCTGGTGCACAATTCTATATATGACATTCTATGCACAATTTTAAGATGACTGATGATGCACTAATTTTTCCATAAGTGAAATTTTTTTCGCTGAGCAAGGAAAATGTGATCAATATTCTTTGTTTTTAATCAATTTTTTTCGTAATTGAAGCCTTTGCCAACTGAGGTTCTACCCTTAATGCATTTTTGGGGGTGTCCCGAATAGCCCCGGGGGGGTGTCCCGAGTAGCCCTGCCGTGCGGAAATGGCTGCCATTTCTTTTTGGAATTAGATAGGCAAATTCTGTCAATTACGTTTTCAAGCCGACACCTAGGTGCAACTTTTATGTAAGTAAAATTTTTTAATACGGCGAATATTTTTTTTGGTACATACCTTAGCAGTTGTAACTTTACAAAACATAGTTTTTCACCATTTTTTTCAGGAATTTTTCAAAGCAAGTAAATGTAGTATTTTTCGACTTCCTTTATACTAGATAGATAGGAAAAATAGTTACGTTTACGCCACTATTTTCAGTTTTGCGATATTCCAATTAGTTTTGCTACTACAACAGTTTTACGCCGTGTCATAGGCCTGTCCCGAGTAGCCCTGGTTGACAGTATTTCATATACAGAATTGAACCAGAACTTTCTAATAATATCTTGTACTAATCTACTCTAATATCTTGTACTTCTAATAATATCTTGTTTCTAATAATATCTTGTACCAATAAAAGATTGATACAAAATGCCCTTACTAGCAAATAAGTTTATATATGTTCCTATATACTATGGCCCCTGCCCTGGCTCATTAGTAAAAACTAAGAAAAATACACATTTATGCCTTATATATATATATCTTTGTAAATCCCCTTTGAAAATTTGCATTTTTACTAGAAATTTTTGGATGCTCTGACAGATATTTCAAATTTGATCATTATATTGTAATTAAACTATACTAAGTATTAATATGGAATATCAGCTTGAATTTTACAAAATTTGGGGAAAAAACACTTGTTCATTGGGTAAATTTACATAATTCTAGGGTAAAATTGTGTTTTTACCCTATTTTTTACTGAAAAAAATTATGGAAGGTTGATAAGAATGGGTGAAATTGTCCATACTGTCAAACAGAGTAATAAGGGACAGGCAGGAAAATATGGGATAGTCCTCCAACATTCCCTAGAAATGTTGTAGCAACTAAAGTAATTGAAATATCCCTGAAATAAAAATGAAAATAAAATGAAATAAAATCCCTGAAAAAAGTGTGAAAAGTGAGATTTTGGAAAAGTACCTCTGCCAAGGTCTGTAGCAAAAGTAGCAAAAAAATATTTGCTTAATTAAAACATTTTAGTTGCATAAAAGTTGCACACATGTGTTCGCTTAAATAATTGACTGATGGTATTTGTGTAGCTCATTTAAAAAAATGGTGGCCGTTTCCGCAGGATGGGACAATGATCAAATATAGATATTAAAATCACTAGATTGCTTAAATCGCAAGTTTATCAAAAATTTAAAAGCAAAGAAAACTGCCAAAATATTCACCATTTCTTAAGAATGAAAACATTTTCATTCTTAAGAAATGGTGAATATTTTGGCTTTTTTTGCTTTTATATTTTTGATGGGACAATAAGGGACATGCCTATGGGGTAATAAGGGACACCCTTAAAACAAAAAATTTTGATTACATTCACCTTGCTCAGTGAAAAAAGTCACTAACAAAAAATTAATGCATAGTCGTCATCACAAAATTGTAGAACGAATGTCACAACTAGAATTGTGCACCGGGCAACATAGAATGAAATATTATTAACCTAAACTATGCTTTTTTTTCTCCAAAAAATGTGATGGTTGTCACTAAAATATTCCATTATATTGCGAGTATGTTTTTTAATAATCTTATTTTTTGTTATAGTGAAATCACTTGACTCAATTAAAATGGAGCATAATTACAAGCCATCCTGTAAGCTTCCGGATACAGAATAAATGCTATACAGCTGCTGATATGAAGCTTGCAGGGGTCAAGGTCATTGTCAATGCTCAATGGCATGTCCAATAGTCCATATATGGTAAATGGTAATATCACCTCAATAATATGGTAATATATGGATAAAGTAACATCATATAAATAAAGGAAAAACAAGTAAAAATCACAGAAAATTTAATTGATTCTTCATGTAAATCATCTACAAAGGAAGAGGAGGACTTCAAAGTACCTAATGCTAGTAAAGGATGAGTAGGTACACTCTGCATGCTTCAAACATTTTAAAATAAGATTTTATTTAAGTGTCCCTCATTGCCCGGTTCCCAGAGGTAATTCGGGACACTTTTATTCTGCATCTGGCACCTTACAAACAGCATCTGGAACTGTTCAGAGATTTCATAGTTCATACATACAATAGCCCTTACAAAGACCTTTAAAATGAGCCCAAAATTGTTTATGAAATGTTTCATGGTAAAAAGTTATCAACAAAAACACTCAAAATTGTCCCTTATTGCCCCATTTGATGGTAATTATAGGGATGCTTTGAAGTTTCTCAATGCCAAATGCCAACAGCATTAAAATCTATGCAGATACATAAATTTTTGGTATTTTATAGGCATTTAATGACTTAAAAACAGACCTCAACATAGTGGCAATCAAGAACACATTTATTTTTTAGGGTAAACATCCAATTTCTGAACGCAAATTAAGCCTATGCATTGCAGATTAAATTTATGAATGCAAATGTTAAACAATCACAATACAATTCATTAAACTCAGTTAACAAAAAATCTTAGTTATTACGCACCAGACACATCTGACTTATACGTTAGTAGATCCACGGCAGACGACAGTGCATGACTGGAAGCACATGCATTGACAACCATACGCAGCGCCAGTTCAAAACATACTGCTGGCAACACATATGTATATCAACAACAGGCATCGAGCTATGATTTGCCGTTCGGACTTTCAGTTCAGATTTAGCTTACATTCTCTTGTTCAGAAAAGAAATAACTCGCGCGTTTGTCATAGCAGGAGACGTTGAAGAGGAGCATATTGCTCCTCTTTCTTAATCTTAGATTATTAGGTTCTTACTTTTCATTCCTGGCACTTTGGTGTATTGCTTACTTTAGGTTATGCTTCCTAATATGGTTTCCTCTTTCCATTGAATTTAGGGCTTTTGTGACTGTTATTATTAATGAATGTTTCCTTCCCTTGTAGTTGTTTCAGGTGTTGTTCTCCATCAATAATTCACTAGTTGAAGCATGCAACTTTATGCAATGTCTGAAAAGTTCAATTGCTTCTGACTTATTATCATGTTTGAAGTGTAGCATGCACTATTAAGAACCTTGGTTAAGTTTAATAAGCACACCACTTATCACGCTTAGTGATACTTGTCTGCACCTAATTGCTTGCCTCACCTGCACTCATTGCCTGAAGATCATTTAACCTTGAAAGTTATTGTCAACCCATTCCTGCTTGCTGAGCAATGTAGCTGCTCCCTAAGGGTGAGTTGCTAGGACTTGATCAACTCAAGAATAATAATATACTTTTCCTTTTCAATCTCATGCACTTGAGTTACTGCAATAAAGCTTGCTTATTACTTTGTTACCTGTTTAATGTTGCCTTGTTCCTGTTTTGAATTGCTTTATTCACTTACCTGATTGCTTTAACATTGAATTTGAATCATTACAACTATTAGATCTCATATCAAGTGTTTGCCTTGCCATACTGTGCTTGCTTTTCTTGTCTTGCTATGTTGCTTGGACACTTGTGTTGTTGCTGATGTATGCGTTATTGCTTGTTTGAATCCTAAACAAAAATACTCCTGATTTGAGGTACACATCCCATTTAACTGCCCTTAAAGACCATAGACTCTAGTCCCGCTATTTTGTTAACTTGATAGGAGCAGTCGGTGTGGGGCCCAGCTGGCATGACAAGCTGATGATACAACTGCCCAGACTTGCCCAGTCCTGACCTTCCTGTCCTGAGTCTTCTCATCTTCCAAACTGCAGCTCCGTGAAGATCACCTTGCTGAAGCTCATTGTTTAAATGTCAACCTAGGCTTTGTCATAATTACTTA